TCGCAGTATAGGTGAAATAAATGTTGTGCAATGTGCAGTTGTTTTCCGACTCGAAGTCAATTGCCAAAGTACTATTGTCAACTCAATCAATCCTCTGTCAATGAATGGTATCGGTGTTATTATTATGTTATGAATGCTCGCCTTAAAAAGTCACGTTTTACATTTATATTGTCTTATTTTCACTCATAAAAATGCTGGTATATAATTCACCTCATTTGTTGCTGTCCATGACTGTACATTTATTTTTGCGTAACCAGCTACCAAAGAACCAGTTTTTGCGGAATAAAATAAACTTTTTTAGATAATCACAACTTTCGTATATTCATGTCACGTGTTTTATTATAAATTTTGTTTTGCTTGGGAAATATAGCCTCTCTTTTTGGTTCTCATTGTAGACTTACAGGTAAAGACCAGTTTTTGGAAACGCCCCCTCTCAAAAAATGAAATGGAAACTCTTATTACCAATCATGTGAAAGTATTGTTGTGACTAATGCGTGATGATACAAATTTTGCTAGATAGATATCGTGCACGTGTCAAATAGTCCCATATACATCTTTCTCTGTACAGTGCCTGTGACTTACCAAGACTTGGGCCAAATTTCTTATCATTTTGATGATTACAGAACCTTGCAGCAGCAGTACACACCAATATTTATATGCTAGATGATCAACTTTTTCTGATCGATTCCACAATGTTTCTTTCACAATGCAATCGCATGACCAGAACTGGTCTTTACCTTTAAATAAGGTCGAAATGATCGACAAATTGACGGAATTGTCAGGGACGATTGACTCTATTTTTATAGCGGTATACGATTGTGACACTTGACAGTCTTGTGATACGATGTCAAGTAACATTCTTGTTCATTTCCTATAATATTTGCACTTTTGCAGTAAGGTAATTTATTGTTTTCTGCAAGACAGTATCAGTGATTCATCGCTCCTATTTATTTGCCTAAAGTGAGAAATACGCCGCATGTATCTTTAGAATCAAGGGTATTTAAGTCATGTGGCGCCTTTTGGTAACATCATCCGTGTTACGTAATCATTTGCTTAATTAAGCCACGGCTTGGAAAGGAGCTCATTACAAGAGGTTAAGGTAAACAGTTCCCGGCCCCAGAAATTATGAGATAGGAATTTAATTGCATTAAGCCATTTAGAGAAATAAAATGGAACTCTCCACACTGGAGGCCCGTGTCCAAGTAGTTCTGTATAAGATTGATTTATTTAGTTATTATCACAAGTCTAAAATGGTTAAGGTTACATTGTATTACGGCATTACAATACATCACTTAAAGCTAGACAACAAGTAGCAATTGCTAGTCAGCTGTGTCCGTTCAATACACCATAAGGGCTACTCAACCCTTGTAATAAATTGATTTGTATGGAAGCAGAAATATATAAGAGAAACAGAATGGCGAAAGTTTGAATCTACGAGATTCCCCACCAAGGTGTATGAGAGTCTTGAGAGAGAGATATATATAAAGCAAGAATAATGTAGTTTTTCAGAAATACATTTAAAAATTGATAAAGCTGAGAAATAAAGCTCACAAATGATCCTCGACGGTTATCAGAACTCAGTCCCTTTAAATCCTTTATGCTTGACGTTTGAATAATTACGAATCAGAGATTTCTATTCATACTGTTGATTATTTAACACCCTGTTAAACAGAATGGCGGGTGACAGGGTTTTCACATGAATACATTGAAATATAAGGCCCTCCATTTTTCCTGTTCTGAAAGAAAAAATGCAAATGCTCATCAGTTTTAAGTGCAGATTTTTGTTTAATTTGTATTGATAAATGTTTAGTTATAACATTGTTTTAATATTAGTAACTTGTTGATTACATTTATATCATTGTCTGATGTGATATCTTCAAACGATCTTCAAAAAATTTGGAGGTCTAAACAATGTGAGATTTACATTGATGTTTGGCATTATAGTGTATGGAGTCGGCGTTCGCAATCAGCTGCTTTATAGTTCGTGGCGCCTCTATGCATTTCATACACACACACAACCCTCACACACACACTCGCACGTAGCACACGCACGTACCCCTGCACCGTAAATGCTGCATTATTGCATGTATACACACGCGTCTTCACTATGGCATTTAGCCGCCACACACGATTGCGTCTAGTACATTGCAGAATGATGTGAGAAAGAGAACGAGAGAGAGAGAGAGAGAGAGAGAGAGAGATTGGGGGGGGGGGGGATTCCTCGGAAGTGCACCCATTGCTGTAGAGATGTGTGCGTTGAAAATCATCGCAACGTGAACCTTACCTTAAGTACACATCGGGTGGTGTAACTTGAGACGATGCCGCCATGCCTGATGTGAACCCACCGTTATCTTGCCCCACTTTCATGTCTTTCCTCTTGTATTCCAACCACCTAAGGTTGTTTCTTTTGTTATATAATTTGCGAAAGTGCAACTTTATTTCTCATTACATTCGCCATCATTAAAATCCCATATATTTTGACACCATTTATTTTTTCTTCTTTGTGAAATGGCAGTCTTTTTCACTTTCATACATGAAATATAGAAGGAATATCTAAGACATTTTAATTTTTGTCATTAAAATTATGATACTTTATTATTTTTCTTTCGGGATATTACAGTCTTAGTAATATGTATACATCGAGCTAGTACAGAACCTATATGAAAACAAAATGTGGTATACAGGCCATCGCTTAATATCGGCCTGTAAGATATCTAAATTCATTGTAAAAAACAAAATTTGATTTTAATTCTTGCGATTCTTCTCTTCACGGATGAAACCTATATTGGTTATAGTAGGGTCCATGGTTATACATGTAATGGGAAAGGCTTCTCACAATATGATATTATGTTATTCCAAAATTACTACAAGTTACAAATTATATCTGCCATAGATGAGCAATCTTCTAATTAGTTTAAATAAAATATTAAGAAATGTTATTCTTTCTCGATTCATGATATACAGTGTATGTAAAAAATTAAAAATTTAAATTTTTTGTTTGTTTAAATCAACAAAAAAAATCACATGATTAGCACTAAAAGTCTATCTTGTGTAATTTTCTCCTTATTGGATCTGTAACATGATTAACTTCTGCCACCAATGCATCAAATATTGAGGATGTTCTAATGTTTAAAAAGTGGACTTGATATGAAAGCTCTGTTTTTTTATGATCCAATACAATTCTTGGTGTCATGTGATATGAAGTCGAAACCACAAATGTTATAACTGTGATTTTCCATCATTGCTCTCTATCCGCCGCCCCCCCCCCTCTCTCTCTCTCTCTCTCCCTCTCTTCTTTATCAGCTGTTGGTTGGAATACATACATAAGCCGTCTCCTACCGCATGGTAAAAAAGAAAAGTCTTTCATTCCTCTAAGTCTTTATATTCTATAAACTAAAAGCTGCCGATTTACCTAACCTTAACCTCAAAGGGGGTTTGCATTCCTTCTTTGTTTAAATTAAAATAAAATGGTTATATTACATATTTAATTATGTAGCATCATTGTCTTACCATTTAAACCCCTCAAAAAGATGGAAACTCGAGTTTGGTAGGTTATAATATCTCTCGTGCCATGGGATAATTTTATCGCTCTATCTGTAAAGCGCTTTGAGAGGGCCTGCGGTCCTGAAATGCGCTCTAAAACAATCGAACTATTATTATTATTATCATTAGTTAGAAAGTATGCTTATTTATTTGCAAAATTTAACATAATTGTTATGATTTTGTAGCCATGGACTGAGCTGTACATCAGAATAAAGGGCAGGGTCAGAAGTGAAAAGTGGCAAAATACCCCGGCCCCCCTACTCCGGGGTCGGAATGACCGCATGCGTGTTAACAAAATGTGCGGTAAAGGGGTACTTTTCGTGCGACAAAGTCCGGCCCGAGAATTGTAAAAAAAAAAGGGGGTGTATTTGACTTTTCACCCAGAGTGTTTTTCTTTTTTTCTCTCAATTCTTGGGACTCCTGAGAAATTGTTCCGAATTTAGGGGGGGGGGTACATTGAGCATTTTCCGTATTAAGGGGGGTCTCCAAGGCAGGAAAAGCCCGCAAAAAGCCCGCGAAAGGGGGGTTCGGAAATGTTGGCAGTCCTCAGATAGGGGGTGCTTTCAAAAAGAGGGAACGAGCATATGCGTACCCTAAATAACACTGAGTGGGGGGGGGGGGCAAAATACACGCTATCACGCTTTGCTTACTTTGTCAACCCTCATGTTTGATGTTTTAGATTAGTTACAGACTTACAGCCAACCTTACTATATTCGACATATTCTCTTTTGTCATGAATACAATTTGCAATGACTTGATAAGTTGATATATAGTGTAAAACTGCAACAATAAAAAAATCAAACAGAAATAAATAAATCAACAAAAACAACAACAAAAATCGAATCAATCAAAGCACTGGTGTTGCTAAGCAGTATGCAGTGCACTGCACAGCAGTCATACACTCTTCAAATTAAAGAAAGAAGAAAGCAGTCTAACAAGAGCAGTGCAATTTTGCAACTTTTCACTTTTGACATTGCGTGTTATTTTGATGTAATACACATTTCATGACTAAAAAATCATTTGAAATAGGGTTATCAATTTAAAGTGAACTAATTACACTTTCTAATGATACAACACATAGCAATGATAATTCCATAACGAGAGAGATAATATAATCAATCAAACTTGAGTTTTCAAACTTTGTTTAAGGGGTTCATAAACGACCGAAACAAGCAGTGATTCTATCCGTCGGAGGGTGATCAGGAATATGTAATTTAGTTTATCATGTTTGGTATTATGCTCCTGATTATATTTTTATTTATAATGCTCACGAAAGTCATAGAATTTTAGAGTACACATCACTTCTTTTATGCACATAGTGATAATAAAATTTTCCCAGTTGCTACCTCACAGTTTCTCTCATAATGAAATCGCATGACAAGTACTGAACGTCATCTTTACAACTTTATTTTAAAAAATACTACTTCTTTCTCATTTCATCTCATTTGTTGCGGTAGCTCGCAGGTATAAGTTGCTGGTCGTGGAGATGAGAGAACGGGAGAGAGGGCGGGAGAGAAGCCCTCAACCATCGCCAGGGTCTCAGTCGCAGAATGACCGAAGCAAAGGATCAAAGGCTTGCTGCTTCTGCTGGTGCTGCTGCTGTAGTTGTTCGTGGTAAGTCGGCAAAGGATAACTCCAAGCTTTTGTTCCGTATGTATGTCACAAACCACATTACAAATGTTAGTACCGTCAAACCTGTCTGTTAAGGTCACCCAATGGAATAAACAGAGACTGTAAACAGGTGGCCTTTCAAGAAAGGTTTTACAACACATGTTTCTTTCTTGAGGGAGACAAAATACATGGCCACTACAGACAGGTGACCTTTATAGAGAGGTGGCCACTCATCAGGCAGGTTCGACTGTATTATATCTTATGATTGTATCAAGCTCACAGCCCGAATAGAGCTTTTGTCAGACCAAATATGAAACGAAAGGAAACATTTTGACAAGTTTGATGCCACCATTTGAAATTGTAATAAACGAATAAATGAAATAAATACATATTTTTTCTTCATGCAGCCTAACGATGCGGAATAATTCTAGTGATTCTAACGGGAAAAAGGACACACCTCTCGACATAGTCAACGGGGATTCAAACGAGATGTGAGTATTTTCTTTTCTTTTATCAATCTGCTGATAGTCAATAGACCATTTTCCTAATGTAATCAAATCCCATACAACGTCCTTGTGAAGTGCCTCTATACGAATTATCTTAATCATCTGTTACGAATAATTGTATTTCAATAGTCAGAATGCGAACTGCATACATTAATGGTTGCTAGGTAGGAAAACCAATATGGCTCGTCCAACATAAGGACACGTAATATATGAACTGTGCATTCTGACTATTGAAATACATGTACAATTATTCATTACAGGTTTATGAAATATTTGTATTGAGGATTTTGACATAAACGTATGCATTTAAATTTGGTTACATTATGAAAATGGTCCATTTCTTTCCAATTATTCTCACAGTATAACTTCCTGAGTAAGCTGTCAAAGGGATTACCCAATCAAGTACAGATGAAGCTTTTCTTTAATTGATAACATGTTTAAGTAATTCTATTATCATTTATCAATTTTGTTCTCCATCCTTTGTAATGATTCGTTTGTGTTTACAGTTTTAGTAGTCATTACAACAAATTATCAGGATTTACATCTAGCTAAAAGAGTTTCGAAGGAGATGTAATGTGAGCTGAGGTTCAGTTCTTTAATCTGCAGATATATTGTCATTTTTCAATGCGGTAATTCACAGAGGTAGATTTTCTTCGATATCAATTAAGCGTTGGTCACATCCCACCGTCCGTACGGTTTTTGGGGAGGCCACGGCCGCCACGTTTTTTTGAAAACGTAGGGAGGGAGTGGCAAAGGCAGGGAGGAAGTACCGGCAACGCGCGTCACACGCACTGTGTAAGTACGTGGCCCGCACGCCACGCCTGGCCGTGAACGGTTGCGTGCATCGTACGTTGCGCACGTGGTAAGTGCGTTGTACGTGCTTACAACGTACGGTCTCCGTGCGGTTGCCACGTTATCGCACGGTGGCCGTACTTACAAGTGCTGCTCACGTATGGTGTCCTTACTCACTTGCATTTTGTAAGTGCGTGCACGTGCGATGAACTCGGTGTATAATTATGTAGGACGACATTCCGATGTTCTCCAGAAGTCCCTGCTGTTGCTGCCTCAAGATGCCGCCCATTTCACCGAAGAGACTATATACTGCATAAATCAGTGCGAACAACGTGCGTTGTAAGTGCTTACTCGGTACGGTCCATGTGAGTTCTGCGTGCTCGTTGGATAGCTGAACTGGGGAAGTGGCGAGTAAGCACGGACCACGCACTTATCACTTGCGCCTTTAAAAGACGCACGGAGTCGGTGCGTTGTGCGCTCGTTGTCAGTACCGGGCACGCACGTCACACGCACTGGGGTGAATCGGTAGCCCGAACGCAGCACGAACGCAGCGAAAGTTCCTCGTGCACTAAAAGTGCTACGGTGTGTCTACGTGCTCCCAAATCCGTACGGAGGCGGTACTCATCACGTACGAATACCCAAATTTTGCCCACGTTTTCACGTAGACAGCACGCACTTGCAAGTACGGCGGGATGTGACCACCGCATTATTGATAGCTCACTGGCTGAGTAACATTTAAAAAAAAATTAAATTCATTTGTCCCTTTTGTTTGTCTCATTGCGTAATGAGTGGTTTTTGATTGCAGTTGGAGCTGATAATGAATGATTGAAACCAACCAAATGGCGATGCCATTAAAGGTAATACAAAGTTTTGGTATGGGGCCATGAATTTGGTTCAAATGAACATATTGGAAGCATTTGCGACCCTACAATATGCAGTGATCGTTGTTGCGGTTGAAATCGAGTCTAAAGTTATGAAATTGTAAATAATAAACTCTTCATGTTGTATAGTTCCCTCTCAAGGTAAAGATATTAATTAAGCTATAAAACAATGTTTCTTGAATAAAATCGACCGATTAGCTATTCCCGTTTGGAATTTTATATATCACAACTACACATTCTGAGATTTTCATGGTCGCAGCTACCATTGTACGGCCGTAGGCGCTATTTGAAATTTATCAAAATTTACCGGGAGCACCGGTAAATTTTTATTTTCAATTTTTCTCGAAAGCAGAAGTGTTTTAGGGGCTAATTTTTCTAGTGCTGATACTACATCCACAGGGGCATCCAAATATATCAAAAATGTAAAGAATCCATATCCACCCAATTTTTCAAAATGTCCCAAAACTTTGTATTACCTTTAATGTCGTTATTTGACTGTTTGAAAAATATCATTATTGTAGTGTTCACGACGATTGTATATGCCTTTAAAATATTATTTGTGTAACATGCATTTTGTTTTAAGGCCGGCACATGCGTTCAAAATTGTTGATGTCTCAAAGATTGAAGCGAAAAGCATTTTCTTCCGCCCCCCCCCCCCAAAAAAAAAGGGGGGGAGTGAGAGATAGAGAGAGAGGGGGGGGGGGGAGAGAGAGAGAGAGAGAGGGGGCATAGAGAGAGAGAGAAAAAAAATCATAGTATCAATATCAATTTTGTAAATAAAATTACTTTAAAAGTCTGCTTTCGTGTGATATCTGTTATAATGAATGCCAACACGTGCGTTCTTATATTATTTTTGAGTTACAAACACCAATGCTTCCAGCCAACTTCTTACAAATTGATCATCGGTATTGCCAACTTAATATATTAACTGTAAATAATTTTGAAGCCTGTTGTTTGATGTTCATTTTATTTGAAGGCCGACGCATGGTTTCACATTTCGATGTTTAGGTATACACAGCCGAGCGCAAACGAAACAAATACATGCATATAACGGTAATTAAATGGTCATTTCCAAGCGTACTGTCTAAATGGCGATTGTTTATTCACGCTTTTAAGGATTACATTATGACTTAACTCTGTTTTTTAACATGCTTTTTTTATAATTGAAGGCCGACTCTGGACGAGATCCGGCTGTGGCATCAGTCGTTTGATACCCTCATGAGTAGCGGAAGTAAGTGATCGTCATTAGATTGCCTTGTGTCAATAATGTTGTAATGAAATTGGATACAAATTTAAGAAATAATACTGAAGAAAATATGTATAGTTAATCCACTTTCTTTGTTTCTTTTCTTTTTCTTTTTACTGAATATATCACTCACTATGATCTACTCTACATTTTCGTTATACGGTGCATACGATAATTGAAAATCCCTTTGTCCATCTAAAAACTTAGGATTTATGAATATCGAAGGTGTTGGAAGCATATCATGTCAACTAAAATATCTCCATTATAGCCAACTCAAACTCTTGTAGTTAGAAAACCAGCGGTCTTCTCCTTTTTTTAAAAAAATCGTTCATAACAACAATTTTTGATAACAGGGCACTCTCTCCCTTTTACATATAATATATGTTTTAAGTTTGACTGGGGTTGCAAGCACATCAAGCTTCATGCTTACGCTGTAAACTATAGCTCTCCTATATCATGATTTTCATATTAATTTTATACCTTTTCTAATTTCTATACAATATCATGTACTGTATTGGAATATGAATCAAATGCAAATGAATCAAATACAAAATGTCACATTGATGCATATGAATATATAGGCCTATGCTTGAAAAGATAATAAGGAAATCAGTAAATCAATAAAACGAATCAAATCAAATAACGTAGGGATTTTCTTTAATGACAGAGTACATGATTATATTCTAATTTTCCTTCTAAACGTGCATGCATTCATGTTTTCTTAAAGGTAATACAAAGTTTTGGTATGGGGTCATGAATTTGGTTCAAATGAACATATTGGAAGCATATGCGATCCTAAAATATTCAGTGATCGTTGTCGCGGTTGAGATCGAGTCTAAAGTTATGAAATTTTAATTAATAAACTCTTTGCTGTATAGCTCCCTCTCAGGGTCAAGATATCAATTAAGCTATGAAACGATATTTCTTGACTAAAATCGACCAATTAGCTATTCTCGTTTGGAAATTATATATCACAACTACATATTTTGAGATTTTCATGGTCGCAGCTACCATTGAATGGCCGTAGGCGCTATTTGAAATTTATCTAAATTATCTAAATATTTACCGGGAGCACCGGTAATTTTTTATATTCAATTTTTCTCGAAAGCAGAAGTGCTTTAGGGGCTAAATTTTCTAGTGCTTATAATACATCTACAGGGGCATCCAAATATATCAAATTGTAAAGAATCACTATCCACCCAATTTTTAAATTTTCCCAAAACTTTGTAATACCTTTAATTTGATAATAAAGTTATTATGACTTCAGGATGTAGGTTTTAAACCTCGTGCAAAAGCAGCCTTACTGTAAATAAAAACTAAAATGTTTTTCCCCAGCAAAGAGTACTTCTATGCCTTCTCACTAAACCATTTTTATCTTCGATATTTTGTTGTTATTTTCACAGAGGGTAGAAGGAAATTCCGAGAGTTTCTCCGCTCGGAATACAGCGAGGAGAACTTGCTCTTCTGGCTTGCCTGCGAGGAGCTTCACAAGGAAACCAATTCGGCATCTGTAGAGGAGAAGGCAAGACTCATCTACGAGGATTATATATCCATTCTTTCACCAAAGGAGGTATATAATATTGGGATATGTAAACCCTTTTGCACGCGAGGCGTTGTTACGATTGCATTTCTCCCTGGGCTAATTGAGCCTATGAAGGCAACTGGTGATGTGACTTGATTCATTTCCGTTGTAATATCAGCATTTACAACGTAAATGTAAAATCAACAACTGACCAAGAAAACAATGCAATAAGTTTGTATAAAAGAATAAATAGAAATATTGAAGAACTGTGTTTGATAACCGAATGAGTTCACCTAAAACGTATAGGCCTATTTTGAAACGGGTGGGGGAGGGGCATGCTAATGAAGTAATGCTTATATGGTGCAAGACCCAACACGTTCAGTAGATGTAGAGAGTTTTGGTTTTTGGTCCAGCAAACCAAAACAATGAATAAATAACCAATGCGAAATGGATAGATTGGGTGGTGACTCGAAACAATGTTTGCGCTGTTCAGTAAGCACTCACGGTTTGCATAAAGTAACTTGCACGTGGCACATCAAAGACCACGCAAGTCTTTAACGCCTCGTGTGCAACGGGCTATTTGAGTAATGTCTACACCGTTTGCATTGCGTTTGAGTTGTCTGACTGAAAAGGTTTAGTCTGGAGAGACTGTGATGGTCAATTCATGAAGACAACTGAAGGCGTCAAATGCAGAGTTTTCGTATCTGGTGTGGCCATTTATTATGAGGAAACGATGCCAGACCTATGTGCTCATATTTGTAAATTATCTGCACACAATCAACCTACGCCCCTCCTGTCCAATATGCATTGATCAATCCAGAACTACTAACATTGCCTTGAACATGATATTAAAGGAAGATTTGCAACCGAAATGAATCCCCTATTTTTTAGCACAAAACGCTGTGGTTGGCGGTCTGAGCCGCGAAGAGCGTGTTTGCTTGGAATCGATCTTACTAACCTTGTATCAATCAGGTATGATTATTAACGTCTGGGGACCGACCTTTAAATATACTATGTCCCTTTAGCAGCCGACATCAATTCTGTAGAACTTTTGCAGGAACTCTGAATTAATAACAAACTGTATACATCAATAGCGCGGAGCTTTGTTCTGTTGGACGAAATACTGGACGAATATCGTCAGGAAACATCGGAAATATCAATCATTAATCAATAAATGTGTAATCTGTTAATCCTAATTCTTTTTCTCTCTCTCTTTCTCTCTCTCATTTAACAGGTTAGTCTCGACTCGAGCACACGCGAGATAGTGAATAATAACATGGTAGACCCTACCATACACGCGTTCGACGAGGCCCAAAAACAGATCTACATTCTCATGCTACGGGACTCCTTCCCGCGATTTTTAAATTCCAAAATGTTTCGCAACCTCATGGAGACGGTGAGTCGGAGGGAGCCTTGACTAGAGACTAGCGCGTCGTTATGGCAACGACCCCACACGTCTCGTCTCACATGGTGGATGTGGCATACACCATTGATGACTTGTTTTATTAATTAGGTTTATTTCTTCTGTTCGTTGTATAATTCAACATACTCTCGAGAAAACATCTTCATCGTACAAGACTTATTTCGTATCATGCCGTCGTTGCGATATACTGTATTTTTGTGTAGAGTTATGTTTCTTTTTTAAACGAAGTGGTCTTTTATTTCTTATTCGTGTGAAATGTGAGGTGTGACATTATCTGTAGACAGAATGGCACGCATCTCCAGCAGGAACCGGTCAGAGCTGACGCTTGATGAGCCGGGTCATTTAGAACTTTCCCACTTAGAGAATCTGGCCATCAGAAATGGCGCGAACGTCACTCAATTTGTAGTGGACACAAGATGAACTTTCGTGTTTTTTAAATTTAATGTTACTGTCTCTGGATAGCGAGGGAATATCGGAGTTAACATCAGAGCATGGATAAGGTTTAGAGAATGCTCCTTTCGTTTCACATGAAGAGTGATTGTTTCGCACGTTCATCTGCACAAAACAATGATGTGGTAGTGTTCAACGTGTCGCGTCCTTCAGCTGTCTGTGTCACGTGATTTGACCATGTCAGGTTCCGTGGTACCAAGTGCTCGTCACAAGAACAGCAAATGTGTGTATCATGTTCTTCAACAGCGTCTATATAGTGTGAAGACATTTTTCAACCAATTATTGTGTGTGTTTAAAAGAAATCTGTTTTTGACGCACGAAGCACAAACACCGTAGAGAATTGAAAAACAAACTGAGAACATGAAACTGTGAATTTTGTCATGCATTCATCAGGAAAAATCGTATACGCTTTTTTATAACCAACAACTTGAGCTCGCGAAAAGAAATAGTGTTATTACTGAACTATTTTGTTGTCCATTGACGCGTGGTTTACCTATGGAGGCTTCTCCGGATGAATGGCGGTGTGTATGATGATGGAATCGACAGATTGTTTCTTGTAATTCCTCTGTCCTAAGGATATATATCGATCATATCGATTCTATTCCATCCGTTTTGTGCATCCGGGTTTTCAAGTGTCCTTTTGTTGATATCTCGTTTGTAACCAAACAAAAGACAGGCATGATGGACCTTGAGAACATTAACAACTCATAAACAAGAAACTGATAATACAACTGTCGAAAGAACAGCGTATCAAAAGCTTATTTCTTCCAGGGAAATTTACAAGTAATATCACATGTACATTCTGGCTTTCTTCTAGAATGCAATTGTTATTTCCATTCTTTTTTGTGACAGTTTTTCCTCGACTTTTTTCTGACTCAAACCTCGTGGATACTTCGCTTTAGTTGCCTTTGAGGACCACCAATACCTTCCACAAACATTTCAGCGAAATCTACCCGTTCGCACCAATGACATGACGACCGAGCCTCGTTTAGAAACTATTTGGAGAGGAAGATGGCAAACGACAATACCAACGATGCTTCACAGCCGATATGTCAGATTTTTTATTGATTTGTTATTCGGTCATCTAGAGTTGGAAATGAAAATGACCGTTTATTTGATTGATTGTTTTAACTAAAAGTGATAGAAGAGGGTGGCCCGATGTTCACGGCTTCCAGATAGATCTAGAACTGTCGAAGTGGAAGCATTCTGAAAGGCTGTGTGCTATGTACAGCGCACATGCAGGGTTGAGACAAAGGAGGGTGCTATACGTGTATTGCAGAAGGACTCAGGAACTACCAGGATTGAACCGATCCATGGTAGACATACAGACTCTACAGTTTAACTGGACTGATGTTGAAACAGCAAGGAATCAGACATCTAGGTGGATCTCTAGATACGTTGTGGTGATAGGACTTGGTACTGTAACTAAGCAGGTTACTAATAATGAAGTGAAAACGAATGTTAGGGTAACAAACTCTAAGACTCTTTCAACAGTTTAAATGAAAGATCCTTGGGTGAAGCTCAGGGGTAAATAGTGTGTCAAGAGAATCTTCACAAATTGGGTATTATCTTTTTAAAGATACGCTACAATCTGTCATTTCAAACCCATTGTAAATGATATACTTATAGGTCTGTTTGAAAGTCTTGAATCCGAATTCAGAGCAGTTTTGAAGCCTCGGACAAACATTGTGGCAAGTTCATTATCAATAATGAAGAGAATAATTTCTAACAAGATACAATCATTATGGGCAAGAAATAAATATTTTGTTTGTACCCCTCTCTCTTTTTCCCTCAGTTTCTCTCTTTCTCTCTTTTCTGTCAGACAACCAAATTTTGGATTGTGAACAGTCTGAATGGGTTTTTGATCTAGGCGTTTCAACTTCAACAACCCATTTCTCTTTCCTGAGACACAAATCTGGCTCAACAACAGTAATTTTTGTTCAGGGTAGCGTTTCACGAAACCGTCGTAAATACAAGTTCGTCGACAACCCATTGGAATCGCGTCTATTAAATTTATCACGCGTTTAAGTAGGGTGTCGGTGAGCTTGTACTCAGGACAGTTTGCCTAGTTCTCCGTCTCGAACCCAAGGCCGGCCCGATTGCGTCACTTGGTGGTGGTAAATTGACATATTCTTATCTTCCCGTGTCAAGCATTGTAAACAGTGATTGATGTTGTATTTACAATCCTTGCCAGAGTGAACTCTGACACTCTGAAACGTATTTTTGAATATTTTATAAGCCAATTTAGACAAGGAGATAAAAATGTCATAGAGGAATAGGGCAGTTATTAAGATCCAATGAAACTGATGGACATGCCTTTTTGATGTTAACGAGAACTTGTTTCCACTGGAAATTTTAATGAAGTGTTATGTTGCAATTAATGACCCATCTTCTTGAACCTAATGATAACTAATGGTTTTGCTGTTGAGATTATCAAGGTTAGTTATGCATGTTTTCAAGAGATTTTGGAGCTTCTGTTTCCATTGTTTGACAAAGCGTTGCTGTTTGCCAGGACTTAGACTCCTCTCCAGTGCTTGTCTTGCAGTTACGTGTTTCTTGGGTTTTTAAGTAGATAGTTCTCTACACAGACAAGACGAACAAACGAGGTTCAAACGGCTAACGACGAGTCTACTATATTGACGAAATTTTAGAGATGAACTAAACACGTGTATATAGTATTTGATAGAATTATACGTAAGTGTTTAATAAGACACAAACATCAGACAGTAAGGCTTGCGTTATTCTAGCTGCCTCTACAGAAAGGGACCAAATTTACCAATAAACATTTTCTGCCAATGTTTCGAGCGGTAGAACGTGTGAAGGGGTCGCAAGCCGATAATGTGTTCACATTATCACATTTTTTGAATATTCCAGTTTTGTTGTTGGTTGTGATTCTTGGTGTGTAAGTAGATGGAAGAACCTTGCAGCCAGTTTTGAACAAACTACTCGTCATGATGTCGTTTTTTTTAACGTGAAAGCTTCTTTAAGTAGTTAGTCCCAGTGTTGCTTTTATAGAGCTTGCGAAAATACATTTGTGTACCGCAGTCATGCTTATTCATTCATTCATTCATTTCATTTTTGGCTTCTTTCTGTGAGTACATTTGCTTTTGCTACGCCTTATACATCTAACCTGCCATATTTCACCTTAATCAGGGGGAGGTAACCACAGTATAGAGTTATCATCCGTATGCGATATGATGAGGGGAATATCTACTTGTGATCATGAAGAAGGTAAGAAATAAGATATTTCTGTAATTGTAGGTGCCTGAAGCCAATTTTTACTATATATCAAGATGTAATAACCTCGGATGTGGTTGTGGTTAAGGGGTATATTCCATTTGAGCGAATGTTCTGAAGGCAGAAGACCTGTGCCCGGCATAGAACCTCTGCCAGGTTCGCGAGACCGAAATGTCAAAAGACTAAAGTTACCTGCAACTTGAACTTCTTACAATACAACCAAAGGTCCTTGAGACCAAATACTCGCAGACAGCTAATTGTTAATACCGACTATACAACCGACGAGACCAGTGACCAAGAAGGCCGACAGTGTTACCCTTGCAATCCTTCTGAGGTTATTATGAGGGTTTGTGCATGAGAGGGACTGGTCGGTCTCGTTTACTGTTGGTCTCGTGGGCTGTCGATCTATATCAAAATGTCCCAGTCGATAACAACGTGTAATGGACCTAAGGGTTCTTGTGGCACTGTGATAATTACTGTGAACCTAGATTATGGCAAACCATGGTTCGCTATATCGTTGAATTTAATGTCAGCAAGTCAGAATTGTGACAATTCTTGTTGAAACATTTAACGTAGACTGTCGAATATGATTATTGTCCATCGTTGAGAAACGTTCTCGAAAAGCCGAGTCGTGGATTTAATTCAAATGTGTTACTTTTATATCTGTTACGGATATTGAAGTGTTTCAAGGACTCCTATACGGATTTCAAAACAAGAATGGAAGGGAATCATATTTCTATTTGTTATTAAGAATGACTAGTGCTTAACACACGTGAGGAGATACAGGGTAGAACACACTAACATGTCATGTATAGAAATTGTAAACAAATTGACGAAGAAAGGCTGAATTATTGCAAAATTCTCATCTATAATTTGTTTATTAGTAACATTTGCGTTCGGATGGAGGGCCTTCCGACCATCACTGCCTGATAGTACATTGAAAGTAATCACCAACTTACAAGTCCTTTCCTTTCCTGCAGGTATCGGGAAAGTCCGAATGTAATTGGCAAACCAAGCTGTGGTGATATATATGGTTAGGGGATATTCCGACCAGAAAATAAAGGTTCCTGTTCAAACCTGGTCCGAATACAATTACTTAAAGGGGAATCCAACTTTGGTAAAGCAGACTTTTGAAATCTTACTGATTTATTTCAAACTTTCTCCATTCTGTTTAATCTCTAATTTTTCTACTTTCATTCAGAGTAACGTATTACATGTACAAAGGTTGGATTGCCCTTTAATATTATTATCGAAACTGAACCAATCTTTCCCTAAACGTTGGTCTTTTCCTTTTATTGGGATCAAATCAGATATGCTACTTTTTACAGTCTAAGCTAAATTTATAAACAATTCAATTACTGTCACGACCATGTCATATTAATGTTGAATATTACCTTGAAATAATATTTAGTCTAACGCCCTCCTTCTTAAACCAGATAATATAACATCAAAGGCTTATGGAAAGTAATATTGTTTGTTAACTCATTGCTATGCTGTGTATATTGATAAACATGGGGGTACGTAATATCCTGAAAACTATGCTATCTTTGTTTGCACAATGATGTTAATTGTCATACCAGATTAAAATTAGGACAAGTCATTGGTAAATGTCTGCGCAAAACTGGTTGAGTTCACGAAAAGCTAAAAGAGACATCTTCGCAAGCAACGATGGTAACTGGTATAGTTCCGCGCAAAATCAGTTTGTTATGACAATTAACATCGTTTTCATTATCCCTACCATGAAAAAAATAAATATTTTTCAGAATATGGCCCCACAATGTTAAACATGTGTATGGATTTTAAAAGAACGCAAGGGTTGTATTTTATTCTTCTCAAAGTATTCGTGTGTAGTCCCTTTTTTAGAGAACACCATGTGTTTAATTTGTGTAATCAAATTTTAGATGCCATTGCCATCGCCATCTCGTTCTTGTTTATGATTTGCTTGTGCAATAGATGCTAAACATGAAAAGGAAAAAGTTGTTTTTAGTTAACTGATTGTACGTAGATTTTCTACCAATGAGACAAATTTTCTATTTGGATGTTTCAAAGTGTGGCTTTATGTGTCCATCGAGTTGTATTTTTGAGATTTCAATTTTTGTTTTAATTTTAATTTTTTTCTGGCTGACCAGTGATGACAGTAGATAGGTCATATTTTAGTAAATTTTGTCAAAATCTTAATATTTCTGGTTCACCACGTCTTGCTGACAGTCGTAGATGGGTTTTTTTTTTATTATTATTGATAATGCGATCGCAAAGACTTTCAAGAAACAAAACTTGTGCAATGCCAATAGCCGTGTCCGTCATGCATGGACACGTGCGAACATTACAATGGTGCATTGTGCATAATCCCAACACGATTGCTATGGGATGTACAATAGGGTATTAAAAATCGCCCTTGAGTTGATTCCCCCCCCCCCCCCGGACAGCTAAATGGTTTTGTTTTAGCACAGATATTGTGTGTATGTAAGGGGACAATTCGGTATTTATAAACAGGCCTATTATCTATAGATTTTCAATAGACGTTTCGTGGTCTCGTGGAGCAGATTCCGGACTATTGACCGCAAAGTAGTGACAGATACGGGGTTCAAATCCCTGCCACGGCACTAACGTTATGTATAGCAAGACGTTAACCTACATTTTGCTACTCTCTACCCACGTGAATTAAATTGGTAACCAGACAGAAAGAATACAATTCCTTGAATGCGGGCCTTGAATGCGGGCCTTGAATGCGGGAGCGCCTTTATACCCAACCTTGCCTGTACTTTGATATGAGTCAATGATATAAGAAAGCTAAGATATAGTTTGTTTATAAACAAGCGATTCATTTGATGAGAAGTCCTATGCATGTACTCCTCAGAGAATTCCAGAATTACAATGGGAATCACAGAAATTAATGATACATAATAAAAGTAATGGCCAAAGATTTTACGGACGAAGTTTATTCCGAATAATTGTTTCTATTTTCTCCCCAGGGTAAAAAAAAAATTCGGTCCATGTTAGTCCCTTTCTCAGCAAGACGTGGGAATCAGTGCTGTGTGAACGAAATAGTTATTATTTGTGATTTTTTTTTCTTTTCTTATACTTTTTAAGCTGGAAAAGTACAGTCAGCGCTCGTGTAGCTTATAATGCCGTCTTTGTAGCTGTGATGTCTGTTGGTAAAGAAAAAAAGTTTAAACAGGAGTCCAGAATTGATTAAAAACTGCACGACACAGATTGTGACGTGAAACGTTTCAAAAAATGTCTTTTTGTTTATGTTTTTTCGTGGTGCGTATGATGAGGTGAGAGTGATATCAGAGCAGAGGCTCCATGGGGATGGGGGGGGGGGGAACAGAACCCCAGAACTTGTTCAAGTCTTCAAAAAGTGTCCCCTTTATCGCTTTTACAGAGTAAATTCCGTTTTTTCTTTCTGATAGGTGCCCGTTCTACATTTATATAAGTGCCCCTTACAACATATGATTCTTGCCCCTTTTCATATCTGAGAGGTACCCCTTTTTCTTTGAAGAGTGCACCTTTTTTCATACTAATATGTACTCGTTCCAATTCTAATAAGTGCCCCTTTTCATCTCTGAAGAGTGCCCCTGTTATTTTGACACGTGTCCCCTTGTCTTTTCTCATAAGTGCCCTCTTCCTTCTAATTAGTGCGCCTTATCCCTTTTATTGCGAGCCCTTCCCGTTCACATAAATGCCCTGATTAAAATTTTATAGATGCCCTTTTCCTTCGATAAGTTCCCCTTTCATTTGTAATAAGGGTTGCTTTTTAATTTTCGTAGCCTAAGTGCCCTTTTCAGGTACGTAAAGTGCTCCTTCTCTTCTGATAATCGCAATTCTACTAATCTGAGAGGCGCCCCCTTTTCATCTCTGGTACATACCCCCTTTCACCTCTGTCGGGTGTCTCTTTTATTCTGACACCTGTCCCTTTTTTCTTTTGTTAATAACCTCGCAAATCTTAAATTTGCTCGCTCGCAAATGAATACCATTACACCCAACTGCAAAGCATGACGCTTGAGCAGTATGCAGAGTGGGAAAAAATATTGGAATCATCCCTGATAATATGTTAATCACAATGTCTAAAAAAATTATATAGTTTTGTTGTGTGGTTTCTTTTTGTAGGTGTTTTTTTTTTTTTTTTTTTAATCTAACAGAGAAGTGCCTTTGTGCCCCCCCCCCCCCCCCCCCCACTCTGAGTGATGTTTAGGATTGTTCGGGTGAAATTAATGATGATAAAAATAGGCCTAATGATAATAATGATATTAATAATGAAAGGTCATCGGCCCTAGATCCCTCCTCCCATCTACCCCCTTTGTTTGTGGGGGAGGGGGGGGGGCTGTTAGTATGTTTTTTCCTCATCATTTAAAACAAAATTGACTTTAGCATGATATAAACAGACCTTGCTGTATTCGGCCAGTAACCGCGTCAGACACACACACTAATAATATGCTGGAAATACTTCCAAAAGGGGAAATTGTTTCATATCTATCAATAAGTCTATAAAAATAGAATCAGACATCGGTAGCAACACCTGTTTAATTTGTACTCTCCCGTAGTAGTCGCATGTAAATTTAATATTTCAGCTCGACCTTTCGCTGCTGGTAATAATTTTACGATTGACAAGAACCTCTGTTAATATTTGGAATTCTATTTATATTTCAAAAGATCAAGTGGGTCAATTGCGTATGGAACAAAGACAATCGCTGTACACTGCACGTTATCATTCATTCGTGTCAGCAGTGGCGTAATGGGCAAAAACATTTGGGGGGGGGGGGCTGACAAAAAAAATCCGCATCACCCCACTCTTACATGCAGGCCCCGCTGAACGTTTTTTTTCAAAGTGGGGTCTAGGGGCAAAGCCCTAGCTGGCGGGAGCCCCCGAAGTTCAAGGGGTATATGCATCAGTGGCGGATCCAGAAATTTCTTACCGGGGGGGGGGGCACAACATGGCATGGGGTGAAATATATGTAAAACGATGAAGCGACAGAGCGAGGCTTCAGCGGCGAGGGAGCGAAGCGACCAAGCGGGGGGGGGGGGGGGGTCCCAGAGTGGGCAGCATTTGCAATTTTAGAACAACATTAGACGCATTTTCAGACACTTCCTGGAGTAAGATGACGTGAAATTGCTTTCTCCTACCCCCTCCAAGAGTAGGGATCTTTTGCAATTTGAGAACCACATTTGGCGCATTATTGTCCACCGGTACTTGTTATCAGGGGCGTCGCCAGACCTTTTTCAGTGGGGGAGGGGGGTGTAGAAGCCACCGATTACCAACAAAACTAGCCACCAATTTATTTCCGTCAAATATATTTATGCCAATGTCCAGATGTCTACAAATTTAACCCTATAAAACTGCGCCAGGAACTAAGTTATTTTTCTGTTTCCCCCCTCCCGCGCGAAGCGCAGAAGCTTTGACGTTTCATTCAATTATTAGAGAAAGAAGACGATTCGTTGTAACGTTCTAGACTCTTAATTCTTGTTTCGCCCCTCCCGCGCGAAGCACAGAAGCTATGACGTTTCATTTAATAATTAGAGAAAAAAGACGATTCATTGTACCGTTCTCGACTTTAAATCCTTGTCTGAATTTCAGTTCTTCACCCCCCCCCCCCCCCTCCCGCGCGAAGCGCGGAAGCTTTGACGTTTCAATAAATTATTACTCTTAATTAATCCGTGTCTGAATTAATTTACGCCCATCCCGCGCGAAAGCTTTCACGTTTTATTAAATTATTAGAGAAAGAAGACGATTCGTTGTATCGTGTCCTTGTCTGAATTCAGTTTCCCCCTCCCGCTCGAAGCGCGGAAGCTTTGACGTTTCAATAAATTATTACTCTTAATCCGTGTCTGAATTAATTTACGCCCATCCCGCGCGGAAATTTTCACGTTTCATTCAATATTAGAGAAAGAAGACGATTCGTTGTATCGTGTCCTTGTCTGAATTCAGCCTCCCTCCCCCCCCCCCTCCCCCCTCCCGCGTAAAGCGCGGAAGCTTTGACGTTTCTTTAACTTATTACTCTTAATCCGTGTCTGAATTCATTTCCGCCCATCCCTTTGACGTTTCATTAAAATTAATAATTAGAGAAAAAAGCCGACTCGTTGGATCGTCTGAATTCAGTTGCCCCCCTCATCCCGCGCGAAGCGCGACAGCTTTGCCGTTTCATTGGCATTTAATAATGAGAAGACGATTCGTTGTACCGTTCTCTACTTCTAATCCTAGTCTGAATTCATTTGCCTCCCTCCATTTGCTGTTTGCCGTTTAATTAAATTATTAGATAGAGGAGACGGTTCGTTGTACATACTTTTAATTCTTGTCTGAATTCAGTTTCCCCACTAGCTGCGCCCCTTATTATAACGGTACACGTGCAGTGTTACAAGATGTACGTATCGAACGTTCGTTCGCAAATCTGTGCATGCACAGCCCGAGTGGAGGATAGTGCTTGTCGCAGAAGCTTCTGGAAAGGAATTTTCTACTAGTTTACTGTTCGTGGCCCATTAGTGACTACAAAAAAAACATATGCTCTTCAGGCGCGGATCCAGGATTTTCCAATAGGGGGGGGGGGCCGGAAATTTGAAAATTGCAACATACATTTTCAACTCAACATACCAATACTGACAAGGTCATATTAGAAGCACCATACCGGTAATTTTTTTGACATTTTCATCGGGGAGGGGGGGGGGGGCTGAAGCCTCTTGCCCGAAAAAGTAATTTTCTGGTTTAACAATTCGGCAAGTGAGCGAAGCGAGCGAGCAAAAATTTGAGAATAATATGTATTTTGTGAAAGTGTTATTTATCACCAAAATATACGAGAAAAGATATAACAAATTCATATTCGGGCAGCTCGCTGTTCCCCTCCCCCCTCCCCATTACGCGCGAAGCGCCGAAGCTTCAATGTTTCATGAAATTATTAGAGAAATAAGATAATTCGTTGTTCCATTCTCGACCCTCAATCCTTTTCTGAATTCAGATTCCCCCCTCCAGCGCAAAGCGCAGAAGCTTAACGTTTCATTAAATTATTAGAGAAAGAAGACGATTCGTTGTACTGTTCTCGATTCTTAATCATTGTCTGAATTCAGTTTCCATACCCCCTCCCGCGCGAAGCGCGGAAGCTTTGACGTTTCATTAAATCATTAGAGAAAGAGTACCTTTCTCGACTCTTAATCCTTGTCTGCATGAATTGATTCCGCCCCCCCCCCCCCCCTCTTTCGCGCGAAGCGCGGAAGCTTTGACGTTTCATTAAATTATTAGAGAAAGAGTACCTTTCTCGACTCTTAATCCTTGTCTGCATGAATTGATTCCGCCCCCCCCCCCCCTCTTTCGCGCGAAGCGCGGAAGCTTTGACGTTTCATTAAATTATTAGAGAAAGAAGACGATTCGTTGTTCCGTTCTCGGTTCTTAATCATTGTCTGAATTCAGTTTCCCCCCTCCGCGCAAAGCGCGGAAGCTTTAACGTTTCATTGAATTATTAGAGAAAGAAGACGATTCGTTGTTCCGTTCTCGGTTCTTATAATCATTGTCTGAATTCAGTTTCCCCCCTCCGCGCAAAGCGCGGAAGCTTTAACGTTTCATTGAATTATTAGAGAAAGAAGATGATTTGTTGTACCATTCTCGACTCTTATTCCTTGTCTGAATTCAGTTTTCCCCTCCCGCGCAAAGCGCGGAAGCTTTGACCTTTCATAGTATAATGAAATTATTAGAGAAAGAAGATAATAATCGTTGTTCCATTCTCGACCCTCAATCCTTCTCTGAATTCAGATTACCCCCTCCAGCGCAAAGCGCAGAAGCTTAACGTTTCATTAAATTATTAGAGAAAGAAGACGATTCGTTGTACCGTTCTCGATTCTTAATCATTGTCTGAATTCAGTTTCCATACCCCCTCCCGCGCGAAGCGCGGAAGCTTTGACGTTTCATTAAATCATTAGAGAAAGAGTACCGTTCTCGACTCTTAATCCTTGTCTGAATTGATTTCCTCTCCCCCCCCCCCCCCCCCTGCCGCGCGAAGCGCGGAAGCTTTGACGTTTCATTAAATTATTAGAGAAAGAAGACGATTCGTCGTACCGTTCTCGGTTGTTTATCATTGTCTGAATTCAGTTTCCCCCCTCCGCGCGAAGCGCGGAAGCTTTGACGTTTCATTGAATTATTAGAGAAAGAGGATGATTCGTTGCTCCATTCCCGACTCTTAATCCTTCTCTGAATTCAGTTTCTCCCTCCAGCGCAAAGCGCAGAAGCTTAACGTTTCATTAAATTATTAGAGAAAGAAGGTGATTTGTTGTACTGTTTTAGACTTGTCAAAAATGTTTCTTTGTCTGCTCCTTTTTTCGTCCTATGTCCTCTTACTGCCCCTACCGCCCCTAGCTACGCATGCTTTAAAGGGAAAATGAAAACAATCATGATTGTGATAGCATACGATTAGGTCAGTAGAAATGAAAGGGGAAAAAAAGATCTATATTTTATACCACCAACCAACCATGAAATAATCGCGACCGGGAGCGTCATATCTTAGTTTTGTGTTATCGGGCGAGGTTCGGGGCGTAGCGACCAAGCGAGATTTTGCAATGTAGAATGCTGAAATTATGCATTCTAGAAAATCCCTTAGTCCAATATGTACGTTCTTTCCGCTACATGTATATTTCTTTCTAGCTATATATCTAAATTTCCGGGGGGACGTGTCCCTCTATCGGGCCCAGGATCACCGCCGCTGTCCATTATCACTACCAACATGAGTTCAAATATAAGCACAATTAAGCGAGTTGGTATGAGCTGAATCCAAATGAAGGGCAACATAAGAGTTGTGAAGCGGCCCTACCGTTAATTTAAAATTTGACTGTTTAGTATAAAGCTTCTATTTGAAAGACATCCAAAATATTGTGCCCTTTTCAATTTTTTTCAAAAAGCAGGGGCTGTTAGTAACGTTTAACTTTGAATCCGTGGCTCGAGATTTTATGCGGCCGGCCCGGCCCCCTCTATTCAATAACGTTTCCCAAGCCTTCTGGAATGACCCCAAATCTCCCGATTACAGTTTTTCCCTTATTCGTCGTTACTGTCACTTAGCGCCATTTCCTTGTGTTTCCCCCTTTCTCACCCGACTTTTCTCTTCCCCTTCCCACCCCCCCCCCCCCCCCACCCACTCAGTGTTATCTAGGGTACGCGCATGTATGTTCCCTCTCTTAGTTTGAAAGCACCCCTTTATCTTCGGTGTGTAAAGTCAGTGCGGGCCGGATTTGTGTGTATTACGGGCCGGACTTTGTTGCGTGAAAAGTAACCCTTTATCGGAAAATTTGGGAACACAAAATCGGTCCCTCGGACCCCGGAGTGGGAGTGAGATGGGGGGGGGGTATCTTCTTCTTTTTTTCTTTCTCTCTCTCTCCCTTCTTTCTTTTGTCTTCGCTTTTCTTTTCTCTTCTCCTTTCTTTTCTCTTCTCCTTTTTTTTTCTCTCCGGCCTTTCTTTTTTTTTTCTCTTTTTTTTTTGCGCCGCCAATAGGGGGGGGGGGGCGCGGCCGTTTCGGCCCCCCCCCTGGATCCGCCACTGCTCTTCCTGGCTATTTGGGAATGTGTCAGTTAACAATAAAAATGGAGAAACGCGCAATTTGGTGAAAATCATGTGATATTACAATCATTTATAAATCACTTGTATGGAATTTTGAAAATAAGTCATGGTTGAATTTGATTTGGGGCAAGCCCCCCCCCCCCCACCAGTACGCCAGTGCATGTCAGACAGGACATCAGAAACATGCTTAGTAATTATTGCTGAGGAGTAGGAAGGCCTTTTGGTCATAGAAATGTATTTTTCTTTCTTTACTCTGGCATCTTGGGAAAATGAGGTGTGCTCTTAATTCCTATTGTAATTGTTGATTTTAGGCCTACGTGTATTCTAAGTGTGCTGTGTATTATTTACTTAACTTTTGACTGAATGGTCGCCAAATAAATGATAATGATAATAGTAATGGGATAGATTGTGTTAAGTTGTCAACAAAGCTTGAATCTATATTACTTTTAAAAAAATGTTTTTCTTTTTTCCATTGGAAAGAAAAGTCTACACAAAGTAAAAGAAATGAGTGAACGAGTTAAAGGAAAATAAATTCTCATAAAGATTCAATTTTGTTTGAAGTTAACAACTAGCCAGTGAAGGCTCTTTTTCGAGAGCAATAAACTTATGTAATCACTTTTGAGGGGGGGGGTGGTAAGAGGACAAAAAAAAATTACCAAAGGGGGGGGGGTTCCTCCAAAATACACACATACAAATACCAAAGGGGGGGTTCAACCCCCGACCCCCCCCCCCCCTGCGTACGCGCCTGCTACTACCTCTTCACGTTATCCTTTTTGCAATTTAAATTTTCAGCGTGAAAAAGAAAAAAATGATAATAAAAAAATATCTAAATTCAATTTCAATCTTTATTATGTTACTCAAAATACAAACGTGAGGGTCAAGGATCATTATCAATTCAATTCATTTATTCATTTATTTTTCTTCTTTCAAGAGAGGGATCCACAAATAGGCTTTTGAGGTTTTACGAATGAAAATATTGATCTATTGTTGGGATGGAGTGTTTGAAAATAAAATAAGCAAGAGTCCACGATTCCTGAGAACAGTTTGCAAGAATTTTGACTATTTAGCTGAAAGATTTATAAAAAATAGGAGAGTGTACCCCGGTCCCGGGTAAGTACGTGCGCATGCGTTGATATCTGAATATCCAAAATTTCGACGGGTTTCTGTTCGGCTTCCTTTATTTTGTCCTAATTTCAACCAAGGCTTTGACAAAGGTAACAGAATGTCAAGCTGTGAGAAAGAGGTGCTTCGGATAGGGAAACAAATTGACAAAATTGTCACAAAAGGCTCGGTAAGTGGAAGAGATCCGATCCATTTTTTCTTTATTATTGAATATTGTCCCGTGTGCTCACTTTTGTGTTGTGCCACAGTACAGTTTGCATGCCAAACAATTTCTCGGTCCAAACAAACGCAAACGACTAATGTGAGCGATTCAATGCATAACTATCATGAACGATTAGAGCTGTTGATAGTTGAATTGTTGATTTTAAAAAAATGGCGCTAGAGGTCTAGACTAATTCAGTTAATCACTTAGAACTAAAAAGTAAAAGAGCCAATCAGATGTTAGGACTCGTATTGTCGTAAAGAGAACTTTCACAAGACTATGTCACTATCAAGAGACGCATTACCATGATTACCAATCTTGTCCACGGCCATTGTTTGTCCTCTTCTTGAATATGGGAATGTCATCTGGCATCCAAGGTTTAAGGCTGAAGCAGTGAAAGTTGAGAAGGTGCAAAGAAGAGCAACAAAGTTAATTCCTGAGATCTGACACCTATCTTATCAATAGGGCACGAAGAAGAATTACACACAAAACTCGCGCATGCGCAATGTGCTCTTCTGTTCGCTCAAGCCCGACTGACGTCATTTTTCATTCATAAAAGTGCTAGCGTCACAATGCTCGTAGTTGATTGGGTGTTTACTCATTTTATTTGCATATTTTCTCACAATGTTAAACCTATGAGTGCGATGATTTCTGCCTGCGACTTCTCGATTATATTGATATCAAACTCGTTATATTTCCATCCCGACTTCGATTTTTGAACAATTTTTTTCGCCATCGGTGTTAATCGATATTTCTAGGTACTTTTAGCAAAATCGTATGGTGGTTCTTTGTTTCGGTAAGTCATATTTTTTGATGATTTCGTTAGAAGTTTTTGTAAAGGATATGTATGTGTAGGTTGAAGTGTGTGTAAAGCTACGTGCAAATTGTATGTGAGCGACATGAGTGTATAGAGCAACATCGTTGAAACCATATACACTGAATGTGTCTTTGGTCGCCAATTTTTGCTTGGTGTTCGAGTTTAGTGCAGGGCCCTGCTCCCGCAAGTGCCGCAACACAGCCGCTACAATACACGGTACAATACACTGCGCACAGTGTAGCGAATCGCCCATGCCTCACAGCTAGCAGACAAGCGAGGGTCACGCGATCAAACAACTTCAAACAATACAACTTTTAAAAAGTGGGACATTCTTTCTGACTCACCCTGTAGATATTCATAATATCTTACAGAAATAATGATATTTCATCGAGTTCAGCTAGCCATCATTTTTAAATGAGACGTAAATGTCATGCAGCGCAGTAGACAGCAATGCGGCAGCTCGTAGAGGAAAAAAAAATCATGCGAATATCATGCGAATATCATGTGATCTCAGGCCCGCGCATTTCTTCTCTCTCTCTGCATACTGCCACCTACGGTTTACTGCGCTGCAAGACAACTCGTCTCGTTTAAAAATGATGGCTAACTCGATATCGAGTACGTAGCTCATGAAATATCATTATTTCTATAAGATATTATAAATATCTATAGTATTATTTTTTAAAGCAAATCATTATTTTACAGTAATTTTGTTGAATTGGAGTCCCTTAAAGTCTTACATGATGTTTTTTAATTGGTTTAATGCTTAATGTTCCGATCAGCTCGGATGACGGTGTAGGGATGTAAACAAAACATGACTCGTAACTTCAGCTTGCCGTTATACACACATTTTTGGAACGAACGGAAGGCACTTCAATGTTATTTCAAGGGCTTTAAATTATTTTCCTTCATCAAAATATCAAGGGTAAACAGTTATGTTGTGGATATATTTTGACAATTAAATTAATGCCTATTAGTATTACGATTTAATTGTAATAGTCTGATCAACATTTTAGTCTTGTGTGTGGGACTTTCTTAACTTGCTCAGTCTTCAGTGGATCATATTTCCACTTCCGTTTCTGAACGCACTCGCTACCGTCAACTGAAACGATGTCCATTTATTTTTTAAAGCATCTTAATCTAATTCAATTGATTATTTTATTGTTTTGAAAGCAGTAACTGTCTTTTCCGTCGCATTATTAGAACAGCAACTTAGTCTAACTCCCGCCGCTGCATGCACACGATTTTTAGTGTCAGTGCAGTGGTGAAAATTTCGGGTCCCCGCCTGAAATTTTCAAGTCAAACCCGGGTTCGGTAAAACCCGTGATGACTCAGGCCTACTTCCTACATCTGTCATCTCCGCATCTTCAATCACTTCCTTCAAGATTAGATTGGACAAGCACTGGGGCTCGTTCCTAGAAACCAACGACAAGACAGTCATAACTTTATCCGCCAACTATGGAGATGTCTCTGATCTTCCTAAACCGTTTCACGAAGAGCTAACTAGCTAGTGTCTCGTGAGATCGTTACTATCGGCGAGAAGAGGAACCGAGATTTAGCCTCAGTCGCAATACCACCGGATTATTACAAAATTAAAATTAGGAAAAATGCAATTATTTAAATGAATTAGTAATACAAAAAGATTGAAAATGATACCAAGAAATAAGTGATGCAATATACTTCCAAATTTGTGTAGATTATACAATAGAAGTACTTGTAAAATATAATTGTGAGTATTTCATCACATGACGGGTGAATCATTTTTGTTCTTGAGATGAGTACCCCCCCAGATTTTTTTTCGTTTGGTAGTTTATAAAAATACACCAATATATTATTCTTAGAAAAATATGATGTAATGAAACTTCAACATTCCAAACGTTAAAAAACAGGTTTTAAACTATTCATTTTACACATTTGAAGATAGAATTATCTCGAAGGCAATAGGGGTCTGAAAAGTAAAGAATACACTTCTAACTATGGATTGCCTGCCGTGGCAGATTACCCATCCCTTCAAGGATTTTACAATATGTAAATAAATGCGTATAATCAGTTTATAAAAGTGGGAAAAACCTTAAATATAAACATGGCATATTTTCAAAAGATTTTATAATGTAAAGAAATGATAACTTCCTGTTTAAGTGAATGTGAAGAAAGATCATAGCTGGAGGATTTATTGTCCTTTCTCGCTAGCCATAGTCTACCCAATAAATGACATGTGATGGCGCTGCCCATCAACTAAATAGTTATGACAGAGATATGATGGTGGTGAAGGCATCATAATTCCTTAGTCAGGAAGTTGTCCTTGATGTTAGCAAAGAGGGCTTTGTGAAACACGTAGCGGACAAGTTGCTCACTAACGCTGATTTAGTCAAGAAGTTAGACTTATGACGGTTTCTAGGAACGGGCCCCTGGTCCTCTCAGCACCAAATGCTTCCATAAAATTAATATGTGCGTCCACCCACCATGCAGGCAAAAATGTTTTCAGATTTATTAGAATGAAGCACCACTCAATGCGACGAACGGAAGTTTCAACAGGATCACCGCACACTTCCGTATACTGATGCTGATGCTGATGCTGATGCTGATAAGAGTTTGACCACTCCAGCAAAGCATAGAGAGTCAATGATAATGCGTATTGACCTCTAGATCTAGCACTGCATGTACATGTATGTGTGAGGCACGCAATCGACTTTTTGGTGCTAGTTCAGAAGCCTATTCAAAATTTGACCCGTAACTCCGGCGTGAAGATACCCAACTAAAACATACCCGAATGAAGTACATATACATCAAATGTCCAAATAAAGATCATGAGTTAAAATTTGTTATGTTTATTTCCTGTTTCGTGTCAATTTTCTTGTTACTTTTTAAGTATTTTTCGGGAAAAACGTTGATGATAGTATACACTTTTCCACAGGTTTCATGGCAAACCGCTTCGCAATACAAGTGCATACTGATATGGAGGGTTGCAGGCGAGCGCGCGCCTGTGTGTGTGAAGTTATCTACCGTAATGAGGATCTGAGACATTACGGTACAGACGGGTGCCCGCCCGCAACCCACAATCGGTATGCACTTGTATTGTGCAGCGGTTTGCCGTGAAACCTGTGAAAAAGTGTATACTAATATCAATGTTTTTCCGAAAAATACTTAAAAAATAACAAGAAAATTGACACGAAACATAATGAATTTTAAATCATGATCTTTATTTGGACATTTGATTTTTGGTATGTTTTAGTAGGGTATCTCCACGCCGGAGTTACGGGTCAAATTTTGGATAGGCTTCTGAACTAGCGCTAACTTTTTGAACTTTTAAGTATGTAAAATACTTGACAAATACAACATAACATCGAATATAAAATCATTAGGTTATATATGGTACATGACCCTGTCAGTAAAGTGGAAAGAAATGTAAAAAAACTTACTTTTAAAGTACCTTTTCTCTCCCTGTTCCAGAGTCTTTGCACATTCGTGAGCTCGGACATAACGGTGCGGTCGCAATGTGCTATTTTTCTATGGGATGCCATTTCCCCAATAATTCAGATAAACACTGTTGTTTATCGAGCGATATATTATTTTATCGACTGATAAACAGCGTTTATTGGGGACATTTTCTCTATCATTTTATCGCCGATAAACAGAGTTTATCCAGATAAACACTGTGTATTGAGTGATAAACACTGTTTTTCAGTCAAGGTCCAAGCTATTTGCTTTGTGACGTACGGGACATTTAGAGACTTTAAACAAGAAATAACAATGGATGACATTATTTATATGGCTATCTTTTGGTATGAGTCTGTGGCTATTATGGGCTAGTTCATTAGTGGAATGACATGTTTTAGTTCTGACCAATTCATCAATTAATTTTAATGTAATTAATGTGCTGCGTGACGTACGGGACCAGAGAATTTCTGACTTTTTTCAAAAATAAGTTCATCACAACAGTTCTCTTAATTTATTAAGTTATGAGATTTATGGTAATGATATCTTAATTCATTATGGAATCAAGCATTAATCACAACTATTACCATATTTTTCTGACCTTTCATTGTTATGTAATATACCAAAACGTAAATGTGTGTATGTGACGTACGGGACACGTGACGTATGGGACAACTTTTCCCTATGGGAAAATGCATTGAAATGAAGAATTTTCAAAATTTATTAAATGTGAACAATTTTAACTTAAATCAGTGACAAATAGAGTCTTTTAGAACCCAATTATATCCTCTGACCATCACTTAATATCCTCTGTGTTAATTTATGAGGTAAATCAATACAAATATTACTTTAACAAAGAAAACAAATTGAATTACATTCATACACACTACATGTATATTACCATTTTTATTCCATTTACCCTTCTATCATGTGCAGTCATGCTTCTTTTCTCATTTATTTTATCCATTCCATTCAACATTGCAAAATGTTTTTAAATAATAATTAATGAAGAAGATGAACTTGAAAACTTTTATTTAAACTTGTTTGAAACACAGGGGCACACAGGGGCACACTTGGCACATCATATTTTGTCAAAGAACATTTCTTATGCTCTAAGTGTTTGTGAACAAAGATTCATTACAAATATGAAGTCTTTTCTTCATAGCTTGTTTGAATTACTTGATAGTAATATCATAGAATTTTGAAGGAATTCAAAGATAATGCTGAACATATTGTCTGTTTTAAATCTTTTTATCACAGATTAGAACATGCATATGTTGCTGTCATATAATCAAGAATTTTGATGTATATTAATGTAGCCTACATGTTTGTGAAAGATGGATACAAAAATAAAAAATCTTGAATGTATTTTGTATTGATTAAAGACATCTTATTAACACCACCAGATATAAGAAATTAAAACCCTAAAGGTTTGTGTGACCTTTTCCACAATTCAAAAGATTAAAGCGAAATCAACAAAAATGCATGGGTGTAAAAGTGATACAAATCTTAAGTGGGTGAGAGTGTAAAATACTCAAAAAGGCTATCCTTCCTTAAAAAGTTATGATTTAGTTATGATTTAGTTTTTAGGAGATTAGAATTCCCGAGCTGGCTGCATAACATGTACAGTGTACTGCTTGTAAGTGTCGGCTTGCATGGTGATGTAGATATACAGTAGGCTTGCGGGTGCACCATGTGAGAGAGAGAGGGTTGAGGAGTCCTGGAAAGGACTCTGACTCTAAATTAAGGTCACACATGCCAGCTATTCTCCACTCCTGATGACGGATAGTCAACCTGTTCGAAACGTCAAGCCACTCATCCTCTCCAAGCACTATAGTTCTCCTCAGAACTGTAAGCTAAGAAAGATAACAAACAGTCCTTTTCAGGACTACACACCCCCAAGAAAGATTACAGAGTCAGAGTCCTTTCCAGGACTCCTCAACCCTCTCTCTCTCTCTCTCTCTCTCTCTCACATGGTGCACCCGCAAACCTACTGTATATGTACAGTGTATGCTGTAATCCTTTACCATTAATGACATTTAAATAGAATATAAAAAAACCCTCACATGGAGAGCTTGATACCATACATGTGCTATTCTTACCTGCAGCATCTACACTGTATGAGTTGTAAAAGCCAGCTTCTGGTGCATCTACTACCATATAATTTCATTAGACTCATTCCAGGAACTAGTACGCCAATGTTGGGGACATCAACTGGCAAAATACCAAAGTTGATAATACTAGGGGTCTGGCTTGAAGACTAATTACATGAAATTCAGAACGAACAAGTAAATTCCTAGAAGGGACCATATACAACAAGTTTCCTAACACAGTATATATTCTCCTTTTGGTCATTTCCTTTTTCACATCTTGCATTGGTTTTATATGGGGTTGTCCCGTACGTCACACACTTGTCCCGTACGTAACATTTCTTAATTTGATTATGTAATCAACACAGAATTTTTGTAATTTTTTTTGTTAGGTATTCATCTAAATTAGAACTTCCTAGGATATCTTTAAAAAAAATAATAATTCTCATAATTAAAATTAAACAAATTATGATCAAATTGTGACGTACAGGACATCACACTTTGGAACCTACCTCATTTGCATAATTTCATTAATTTTGAAAGTTTTTATATTTTTTTCCAATTTTCTAGCATGATGGTCTGCATGTCCTGAGATATTTAATTTTAAACAAATAATTCAAATGAGATACAAAAATAAAAATGTAATGTCCCATACGTCACGCTAATTAATAAAAATTTAAGTTCGTGACCTTGGCACTCTTCGTATTTTGATTAATTTTTTATTTTATTTTAACACGTACGTAACATTAGAAAATGGAGGTACAGAGTTGAGAACGATGGACCCAATCGACAGAAGTCTTGCTAGAATTAAACGAAACTGGTAAAATTTATTTGTGTGTTATTTTTTATCAATATTGAGTAGTTAATATGTATGATAAAAGTTTACTACGGTAGCTGCAGCAGGTTTTACAAAATATTGCATGAATGTACTGCAGTACAGTGTTGCCTCGTTTACTACACAGCCAGGATAGTGATGCAGCTATGTGTGTGTGTGTGTGGGGGGGGGGGGTGAAGATTGTTTAAAAAGAAAGAAAAGACTTTGTTTCCAGTGGTTAATTGTCAATTAATTTTGTTCATTGGTATCCTGAAAAAAGGGAGATAATGGTTTGGAGATTATGACAATTTGTCTTTGTTTCTAATGTGTGTGTGTTTATTTTGTCTGTTTTGTTCAGGAATCTGAAGATTCCTTGCAGTTACTGAAAGAACTCAGATCCTTGAACAACACAATCACTTTGGAGGTTCTTCAGGTGAGTTCTTTATCTTAAAGAGAAATCCGACCTTGAAAACAAACTACTCTAGAAGAAGAAAATAAAATGATTAAAATGTCAATTTAATAAAAAATGTATGACTACATGTAGGTATAATGCTTTCCTGTTAAGAGGACCTGTAATGATATCCTTTCCAATAATATATTTCGAGTAGTGCCACAAGTGTGACAACACTTGGGAGAAAAACAAAATTAGTGATATTTTCAAATTTCAACATGACAAACAGAAGATTTTTCCGTCACTACTTCACAATCCACTGACAAATTTGCCAATTTTATTTGCATAGCTGTAGTGATTTCATAATTAAAACATTCATAAGGTTCTTATTATTGGTCTAATTTATTTCAAACTTTCGCCATTCTGTTTCTCTGATTTTTCTGCTTTTATTAAAAAGAATTGTTCGGGTTGGATTAGCCCATTAAACAGCTCTGAAGATCTTTCATTCATCTTGTGGTACACATCCTCTGATGGTGCTCAGGCAAAAGTCAGGCAAATCTTTTAAAAAGAAATTACTCTACTCAGTGAAAAGAGAAAGAAGTTATTCTCTCTGTCTGTTTGCAAACAGCTTATCAATAAAATGAGTGGCTGGGTTCATTTTTTTTTTAGTATGTAAAAGTGCACCTTTTAATGTTTGTTTTCATGAAATGCTAGGAACCATGTCCAGCAAATGGTTAGGATTAGGGTTGCAATGTATTTAGTCCAGTTTTGAGAATTTGGTACAACTGTAAGATATTTGGCTGCTGGACAATTGTCCCTATAGCATGTGTCACATGACCTCTCTGATACCCTAGTCACACCGATGAGACTGACAACCCCCTCCCCCCCCCTCCCCCTCCCCCCCCCCCCTCCCCCCCCCCTCCCCCCCCCCCCCCCCCCCCCCCCAAAAAAAAAAACCTCTGCTCAGAATGGGCACAGTCAAATTAGAATTTGTTAAGAGATAGCTTGGAAGTTTTACTTAGGTTAGAAGCAAATGTTAAATTAGATGGCTATTCATTCATTATTTTGGTGTAAGGGGGGGGGGGGCAGTAGAATTTCAAAAATTTTGTTTAAGTTTTAACAGATTAAAGAATTTTGTTTTTACTTCATGTATTTCAAAGCATTTGAAATTTATTGCCTCTCGCAGAAAACTCGCATTGGGATGGCAGTGAACAACCTGAGAAAACAGAGTGATCAGGAGGAGATCATAAATCTAGCAAAGGTACTCATCAAAGGCTGGAAAAAGCTCCTTCCTCAGCAAGGTATGTCACATTCTTCTGAGGTTTGACATAATAAAGTGCAGTCATACCAGTAGGGTCAAGGATAAGAAAAAAACTCAATTGCCCCAGTAAAATCCTGTATGCCAAGAAGGACGTATACAAATATTAATTCTTCCCAAAAACCTGTCGAGCATGGAATTCACTTGATCAGAAGTCAGCATTGAGTCCTTGTGTGGAAAGCTTCAGGGGCTCAATCTAGCATGCACTACCACGCCTTTCCCACCTTAGCGACATGCACAGTACCGCATGAACTAATTTGTGCGAAACACAAAGTCTCTTATAAGTATTGGCTTGCATGGTGATGTAGATATACAGTAGGCTTGCAGTTGCTACATGTGAGAGAGGGGGAGGATTACCAAGAGTCCTTTTCAGGACTCCCCAATCCTCCCCCCTCTCTCACATGGTGCAACCACAAGCCTACTGTACAAAGTCTCTTGTTGCTGGGGTCTAAGGCTAACTAAAGGGCTTTCTTATTTGCTCTAGAGTGCAAGCTGAGCTTTATTTTGGAGCACTTATGAACAAATTTTATAACTAATGTTTCAGAAATAATTTGGGTTGAGAATGAATTTCCAAACTGTCAAACCTGTTGCTACTACATGATAAAACCTCTTGTAAACCACCCTGGTTTATGTATTTTTTTTGTCGCTATTAGGTGGTAGCACGCCCTCGACCAACAAGTCCAAAGAGAAAACATCAAACGGTGACTCAGGCAATTCATCGGACCAAGGCAGAGGGGAGGGTGACAGCTCAAAGACGATAAACAGGCAGTCTTCAGCTTCATCTTCCAGTTCGTTCTCCTCCTCGGGCCTAGATGTCGTCAGGGAACGTTGCAAGCAGATGCTGGTTAATGCTCTCAAAGTAGCAAGTAAGTGAAAGATAATACAAGTTGGTTGCGTGAACTGCAACATGATACGATATATACGATAAAAGAAATCCTATGTACATGTGAGTTCCCACTGTAATTGATACTTCATAATTTTGTAATGACTCTGTGGTAATATGTTAGGCATTTTCTTTGTGTGTGTTAATGAATCACAACTTTTATAGACATTGCAATGACTCTATCTGTATAGTTATATGATGGGTACTGTATTTCATTTTTTACTTCTTTTGACACTGCATAGAGAAACATTTAAAACAGAATGGAGGTATGAGCTTTGTTCTGTTTTTCAGTGTTTCGACTTGCCTCGATATTTTACGGTATGAAAATTGTACACAACTATTCCCTTTTCTCCCATAGAAATACTTTATATAAAGTTTTTTTAAAGGATAAATATGCTGTTTGTACACAGGGCCGTCGCCAGACCATTTTGAATGGGGGGGGGGGGGGCTGTTGTGGTGGCAGACCAGTTTAGCGACAAGGTACACATAGCTTTTGTCGACTTGCCCCACGAAGGAAAGCAATGGTTGTCAGATTTTTACATAGTTTTGCCAATAGATATTCATGTCATTTTCCTGACGCGCAAATAATAGTTTTCAGATTTAACGAAAGCCAATACAATGATGTCACATTTTGTATGAAGGTGTATCTTGGTGTAAGCTACACACCTATAAATTTTTGTGATGCTGCCCCAGTGTTCCGTCTTCTATAGGGTCAAAAGGTCATATTTTGATAGATGTCTAGTGTTCGCACTGCAGGTCATATTTCATGACAGATTTCTTTCCAACTTTGTATAGAGAATTAGAATTGTATCTTGGTACAATCTACACTTTTGGGTGATGCTGCCCTCATTATTCCGTCTTTTATATGGTCAAAGGTCATACATGTATATATGTCTTTTATATGCGCTCTAACTGCCACATTTCTTGACGGATTTCTTTCAAATGTGGTATGGAGGTGTGTCTTAGTGCAATCTACACATCTTTAGTGTTTGGTGATGCTGCCACATGTGTTCCATCTGTTATAGGGTCAAAGGTCATATTTTGGTGGCTGTCTATTGTGTGCTCTAACTGCCACATTTCTTGACAGATTTCTTTCAAATTTTCTACAGAGATGCATTATACTCTGATCTACACACATATTGTTTTGGTGATGCTGCTCCTAGTCTTGGCAATAGTCTGAGCCACTAGTGGCGATCTCTACGTAATCCTTTTGTTTCAGGGAGGGGAGAGAGGATCTTTGTCCCTCCTTTGAACATAAGGATGACACAAAATCGCTGCCACTGCCGGGGGAATTATTCGCATTGCACGGCAATTCAGATTGCGATATTTCTATTTCTTTAAGAATTCTTTATTTATTCTTTCATGTGGCTTGCTAGAAGTCTACACAATAGTCTGTTATATGTACATATAGTCCCATTTTTATTGTTTTGTGTCATGCTTTTTTGTCTCATTTTCCAGTACCTGATTTAGATGACGGGGAAGAATTACAAGACCCAGAAGAGCTAGCTGGCATCATTGAAGATTATATCCTTTATCAAACATGTCTGCTTTGTCCTAATGATTGAGGTTTTCTTCTTGTTCATGATGCAAAGATGCTTTTCATCAATACTGATTTGTCTCAATTTTTCTCTCTTTCATCTATTCAGATTTGCCAACACTTCACTCTTTCCCTCCCTCCTCCTCTCTCTTTCCCTCCCTCCTCTCTCGATCTCCCTCTCTCTTTTCGTCTCCTAAATCATGCCTCTTTCCCTATGTTTACAGGTTGTTGTTTTTTAGCCAGTTTACTGAGATAAACATATTTGAATAGAGCTTTTAGGCTTTAATAGCTCAAAGTTTGGATCAAACTCCAATGCAAAATGTTTGTGTAGTCCCATATACCAAAATCTGTGTGCCATCCATTTTTATATGTACTACTTAATCGATCTCACACTATTAACTTCATACACAATTTTGTCCAGATTGTAATTGCATGATTAGAACTTAAGTGCACCCTTGGTTGTGAGGAGACACAGTGTAATTGAAAGTTTATGGTACCTTGACTTCTGTGTACGTATCTACACTGAATTCGGTAATTCGGATTTGAGATATAAGAATAGGGTGAGGAGTAGGGTTTCCAACCTCCAAGACAGCAAGAACCCAGACCTCCGTAGGATGGTCCTCAGAGGAACCATCCCTGCAGAGAAGATCGCTTCCATGGCTGCTGAGGTTAGTGCTTTCTCTTCATTTGTCTCTTATTCCTTTTCTTCCTCCCTTTCCTTCCTCCCTGTCTTGTCCTTTTCCTTTGATACCCATCTTTGTTTCTCCATGATCAAGAGGCTTTCAAAACTCTTGAAATTTTAAGGTCAAAGTTCACAATCATAGTCAAATTAGCATTCTTCAAAGGATTTAAATATAAAACCACTCATTTTGCGATAAAAAAAAACACAAACTTTTTAACACCAAAATAATTCAACTTTATCTTGAACTGCTGTTGTAGGAGATGGCAAGTGAGGCCATGAAGCAGATGAGACAGAAGTTTACCAAAGAAGCCATCAATGACCACCAGCTTGCTCACACTGAAGGCACCCGTTCTGCCCTGCTCACATGTGGCAAATGCAGAAAGAAGAACTGCACTTATAACCAGGTAATCCAGTCATACATCAAACAGGGGAAGAGGAAAGGTTGAGAGGGGAAGTGGTTGGTTTGTGTTCTTGGTATTTGGTATTTATTTTAAAAATCCACATGGCAGCCCAAGGGCTGAATTGCATGGAGTTTACAAAGTAAAATCACAAAAACAAAATGTCTTACAAGTCCATACATATTATAGCCATACAATGGTATGAAGGAGAGAATCAGAGAAAAAGGGAGAGAGAAAAAAGGAAAAAAACGATCTAGAGGAAGAGATTATGAATTACATAATAATTGAGTGGATTGATTAATTAACATTTTTGGGTGGGGGTTGATTTGGTTGAGGGGCAAGTCAATTCTGACCCGAGATTTGGGGATGGCTTTACTAGAATCAGACAAATTAAGCAAAAAAATCAGTAACATTTTGAGAAAATTTTGATAAAGGATAATTGAAAGATTAAACGAGAACTCGTTTGAGATTTAATCTCAATTATATAAGTAATAAAAATGAGGGTTTACGTTAAATGAGACCCCGTCAGTGTGCATGCGCTAATCAGCAATATTCGTAGATAGCCGAGGATGTGCCTGCTGAACCAAGCAGAAAGATAATGAGAACTGTAATTAATAACAATACCCAGCACTAGGGCAGGTAAGGGAGGGACATAAACCCTCATTTTTATTACTTATATAATTGAAATTAAATCTCAAACGGGTTCTCGTTTAATCTTTCAATTATACTACGTAATACCAATTTCGGTAGTACGTTAAATGAGATTTCGAAGCTCAGTAGGCCATCAGATCCAGTGCTAAACACAATAGTATACATTAATGAGTGAAGAGCAAGATAAAACATGCTGCTAAAAAGGTAAACCAGCTGACCTTATAAAGGCGATGCCAATTCTAGGGCATCCTTTAGGACGCCATGATTGCACCTGTGAAGTTGACGTACCTGTTCTCCACTGGTTTCATGTAATAAGTTTGAAACGTCCGTTCAGAAGACCAGCCCGCCTGGGCTAGTATATGCTTGATAGGCAGATTTGTACTGTTTGCTGCTGAAGTTGATGCAGCTCTAGTAGAATGAGCTTTGTAGATGTCTGTGTCGATCCCTGCCGAGGTCAACGTTTCCTTCACCCATCTGGCGATGGTCTGCGTAGTAACGCGTTTGTGTGGTTTCTTGAAGCTGATGAACAGATAGCGTTCCTGTCCTCTGACGCTCTCCGTTCTGCGCAAGTAGTACACATAACCTCCTGTCTGGTGGATATGCCTTCATTTTCAAGTTGAAGTTCACATTCCCGGTTTCGTTTGCTTTAGGAGGTCCTTAAAAATGAACAGAACTTCGCTGCCCTTGATTTTCATGTATTCAAGATGCCAGCTGTGCAGTGACTGGACCCGCTGGGCCGATATCAGCGCCATAAGTGTGCAAAGTTTCATAGTCAAAGTTTTTGGCGTGAGCGAATTCGCTGGTGCCCACTTCCGTAGATAATTAAACACTATGTTCACATCCCAAATCTCCTTATATCTTGGCGCTGGAGGGCGCAATTGGAATGCTCCTTTACAAAAACGACTAATAAGAGGATGAGTTCCAACTGTACATGACGAATCCTCAAGTACTAGGAATGCAGACAAGGCGCTGCGTGCAGAATTTATAACACTATAACTAGCTCTTTCACTTTCAAAGAGTTCCAACAAAAAATCAATTACATCATTGGATCTCGCCTGGAGATAGTTCAAGCCTTTTTTATGGCAGTATATCTTCCATTTCCTTATGTAAACGGCATAGTTCTTTGTCGTTGATGCTCGCCACGATGCTGCTATTACATTGATAGCTCTTGCACTCAAACCTTTACTTTCTAGTGGCTGGCGCAGCACCTGCAACAAAGCAAATCAAGTTGATTATTAAGCGGGTGTGGCTCATTTGTAATAGGCTGTGCTAGTAAGTTTGGCCTTCTAGCTATGAACATTGGCTCCCCAATAATCATACTCTTCAAAAGAGGGAACCATGGTTGGGTAGGCCAGTTTGGAACTACTAGTAGGCCTGTTGCATCATCGCATTTAATCTTTTGTAAGCATTTTGCGATGAGGCAGAAGGGTAGGAAAGCGTAGAAACTTAATGGTTTCCAGTCGATTGTGAAAGCATCAACTGTTTCAGCTCCAGGGTCAGGCAGCCATGAGATGTATCTGTCATCTTGCTTATTTAATCTTGATGCAAATAGGTCTATTTCTGGGGAACCAAATTGCTGAGAAATTTCTTTGAATGCATCTGTATTTAGCATCCACTCTGTCTTGTGGTTAAAGTGTCTAGACATGTGGTCTGCCTCTGTGTTTAGTTTCCCTGGTAAATGGGCAGCTGATAGCCATATGTTCCTACTCATGCACCATTCCCAAATGTGTTTGGCTGCCTCATTGCAATCTGCGGACTTGCAGCCCCCCATATTGTTAATGTATGATACTGCGGTTACATTATCAACACGGAGTAGTACATGCACATTTTCCACATCAGCACAGAAGGATTGAACGCCAAACCTGGCAGCGACTGTTTCAAGGTAGTTTATGCCATAATGTCTTGCTTTGTGCAATTCTTTTTCATTCCATCTACCACCTGTGCATGATTGGAGGTTAGTAGCACCCCAGCCAGCCCCACTGGCGTCTGTGCGCAACTCGAGGTCTGGTTTCGGTCTTCTTATTGGAGCGAATGAAGACGTTACATGCTCGACCCACCATTGAAGTTCACCCTTGGCTTCATTTGAAAGTGTCATTTTTCTATCGAAATGACCTCTGTTTGTTTTTTTTGCTGCAATTTTGTCTCTCTCCAAAGTACGATAGAAGAGAGGGCCATATTGGACTGCTGGGAAAGTTGAAACGATCTTCCCAATAACCCTGGCGACGTGCCTTATTGAGGGCTCCTTAGTGTCAATAAGCTCTTGACAGAGGAGTTTGACTTTGAGCGCCTTGCTTTCTGGAAGCCTAATTTGCATAGTATTTGTATTCAGAACAAAGCCAAGGAACGTTATTTCTTTGGTGGGGGTAAGTACTGATTTTTCAGGGTGAATAATGAACCCGAGTTGTGCAAGGATGTCAGGGGTAGCCTTAAAGCGTATCTGCCATAGTTTACAGGAGGGATTAGACTACCCTGCAAGGTCACTGGACAGGTGGTTATCTCATCAACTCAGCTCTCAGTTAACATAAGAAAAAGAGGATCATGGGGGACCAATGGTCACCGATTAGGCATGGTTTGCTATATAGAGGGCGCAAGTAGCTACAAGTAGTGTAGTGGGCCTTTAACAGCTGCTTTGAGCTTTTCCTCATTTTCTGCAATGAGGATTGTGTCATCCAAATATCCTACCACAATGTGACCAGCTTGTCTGAGCTTAGAAAAAACTGGCTTTAGTAATTTTGTGAATAGCCTTGGTGCTGTACTGAGACCATTGGGCAGTGCTTTGAATTGCCAACATTGACCATTGACAATAAATTTGAGGTATTTCCTATCCTCTTGGTGGATCGGTAATGTATAATATGCATCTCTGAGGTCGACCGAGGCTAGAAAATTGTCAGGGGATACAAGATCCAACACAGTGTGGATATTATCCATCTTGAAATGCTGATACATCATACATTTATTCAATTCTGAAAGATCGATGATTAGACGTACACCTCCAGTTCTTTTTGGCGTAGTAAAAATATTAGAAATGAATTCACCCAATTCATGTACACAGGGCTCAATAACATTTTTACGATGGAGGCTAGTAATTTCTTCTTGAATGCGCTTAGCATCCGGGGCGCTCCGTTTATAGCGTTTAGCCTTTAATTCATGCAAGTCTTTAATTTTTTCTACATCAAACTCGATCTTGTATCCCGTGACAGCCCTAATAACAATAGGGTCTGTTGTTAGCTCTTGCCAATTTTTCCTAAAATACCTCAGTCGACCGCCCGCTGGGGGAACACTACTACTAGTACTAGCATTAGTCATATCATTTTTGTTAAAAATGTGATCAGATTGTGATTCACTGACCTTGTCGTGACTTGGTCTTGGGAGTTCTACTTCCTCCTCTGCTGGCCCATGGGACCCCTCTGGGCACCTGGCGCTTGCATTTGAGGCTGGTTCGGAGCCTGAGACTGAGTGTACGGAGGCAGTCTGCCCCTCCTGTTCTGTCTGTACCCTAAAAAAGGGCCACCCTGCGATCCTGACATTGGCCTGCTATACCCGTGGGATTGGCTCTGTGAGCCCCAGCGGTGCCCCGGTGCATTGTAGCCGCATCCCCGGTAGGGATGCGAAGCAAAGCGGTGTTTGAATTTGTCCCTCATCACACCGGCGGCTGCCAGTTGCTCATCTTTGAGATCCTTCACCTGCTTCCCAAGATCATCACCAAACAAAAGTCTAGTAGCTGGCAGAGTAGGTTTGCACAGATGCGTAAACCTTGCATTCAAGTCAGGTTTTATGAGCTTTTTTCGCAGGCAGTTCAGTTCAAAGTTAGCATTGCAAATCAACGCCAAAGCATCTTGCTGTGTATCAGTTATACCGCCCGTAGAAACGGAGCGGGCAAATGCATCGATGCCATGAGTGAGTGATTTTTTAACTCGCTGTAACTTCAAGTCACGGCTTTTTGTCATCGGAGGTAGATTGTCCCATATCACAGGGTTCACCTTTGGTGCCTCTATAATTTGACAATTGCTCGGAGCTGGGTATTTAGCAGTTACTTCATCAAGAACTTTCCCCTCCAATTAGTGTGTCATGAGATAGGAAGTAGATTGGGATACCTCCTCCTCAATAGGATCTCTGATATCCGATGCCATTGCAAATTTTGCGGCGATCGAGGGAATGACAAAGTTATCAGGTTGAGGCATGTCTGTGTCAAAATTCTCTTCCTCCGAGACGGCGCCCGCTTCGGTTGCATCCGCGGGTAGACCGTAAAAATCCATGAGCCGGTGGGCTGTATGTCATTCCCGTGGTCGAACGGAGGCTGTTGCACATAGTCTTCCCCGCCGGTAGCCCCGGTGGAGCCGCGAGACGAAGACGGGTGTGAGCTGCCGGTGAAAGCCGTAGCATTAGCAGCGGGCAACGCCTCAACCACTCGTGCAAGAAGCGCTTCCATTTTATCAAGTCTGTTATTGAAAGTAGAAAATGGAACCGTTGATTCCACTTCCTGATTCTTCTCGCTCATTGCCTTTGGCTCAGACTTACTTTTAGCTTTCCCCGGCCCACTCTTGCTGACTTTGCCAGCCGTGACTTTGCCACTGGAGTTGGGTAATTTTTTCTTCCTGTCGGAGCCCGTGGCTCCCGTGCTACCAGGTGGTGCCTGGGGTGGAAGCACGGACGGAGGAAACAGCAGTGCTGCTATCCATTTGAGACATTACAATTCTATTGTTCAAATATCACTTCAGAAAAGCGTGATTTATAAAAATAAGCGTCTCAAAGTTATCAGTAAATGTCAAGGATGAAACTAATAACGTTTTTTACCTTTGAATTTCGGGGATTACGAGGATAATAATATCTGATTTCTTGAGCCAGAAAGGTGTCCTTTCGCTCAAATAACACACAACTGACGAATTGCTGATTAGCGCATGCGCACTGACGGGGTCTCATTTAACGTAATCCCGAAATTGGTATTACGTAGTATAATTAATAGTTGTAATCTAGATGAAATGCAAAGGGGCAATTTTATTATTTTCTTTGCGAGGACTTCTTCCTTTCTTTTTTTTGTTTTTGTTTTGTTTCGGGTAACCATGATCATTGTGTATTTGTAAATGTATATATAAATATGACTATTTAAAATATGTTATGGTTAGGGTTATTGTTAGTTGTGGCACTGAGTATTTGATGAGTGATAGACATTCACCACAGAGTTGTTACTGCCCCAGGGAGCATGCTTTATATGCAATCCTTGATTCAAAGATTCACTTATTTACTCATATAAAAATGACACGTAAAATTCAGGTGATAATGCTATATGAAATGTGAAAACATGAATTTTACATTTCTTTTAACAATGTTTTATGAACAGATGCAGACAAGGAGTGCTGATGAACCTATGACGACCTTTGTATTCTGTAATGATTGTGGACACAGATGGAAGGTAAATGGATCAGAGTTATCATAACAACTAGGAGAATTAAGGATGGTTTATGTTGTGCTGGAATGTTGCAATAATCGTGTTACTCCTTTTGTGCCAATGTCTGCAAATCCTGCCCAAGAATTTAAGTGTTTGTCCTTGAGTTTGTTTTTTAAGAATGGCGTCATGTTTCTCTCCCAGAACAAGTAATATGTACCGTCATGGTAAAGTGTAATCCACCGAAGATATTTTATGTCCAATTCTTCAACAAAATAAAGCAATTTTCTCTCTTGAAAGTTAGATTATGACATTTGTTTGAACAAATTGGTTGTAAAGAAAGGGGTCGGGTACTATCTAACATAGTTTGTGCGATGTCACAAAAGTAATTCAACTTCAAGGTTATTTTTGTTATTTTGAATGTCATTAAAACCATGAAAATAGATACTTGAATGTCCGAAAATATATCTCCTTTGTGTACGGATTGTGGAAAGTTATGACTGTTTTATCTCACTGGGTTTCATGAGTACATGTTGAAAAGAAAGACAAAATTAAAAAAGCAAATATATCTTTAAACATACATGTATATATATGTGTGTTATTTATTGATAAACATTTACATGAAACTTTCCATTTTTGTTTTTCAACGGCTTCAGTATAGATAAACATGTGGATACTGGTATGGGTAATTTGAACACCTTCAGTTTCAGAGCATACAACATTTAATTTGCTCCCAAAGCTTCCAACTATGAACTTAGGAAGATAGATGTAAGTTATCTTGTAACAATCTTAACTTTACCACATTTCTCTTAAAGTTTCCCACTCTGTTCACACTTCTGTGAAGTTTCTAAATGCGGCAACCAGACATTAAAACGTTTCCCATCTCTCTGTTTTTTATCTCCATTGCAGTTCTGCTGATGTCAACCAATCCGTCTGTTGTAGATATTGTTTCATATGAATACCACTCTCTTGTACATACTCCCGCACCTGGAAACCACGGCAGCAAAGAAAGAACCATATCCAATGTATTGACTCTACCCACTGTTCTCACCCTTGATGCGAATCCTTGGGGACTAGAATATGCCAAGGCTAAATTCCCCTTGACAAGTGTACTGACGATCATATTAAATATATGTCAATCCGTACTTTCAACCTGAAAAGCACCCCAGAGATTCTTGAAGACCATATTAAAATATGGTCTTACTCAGTTTGGACCAAGACTGTACCAGCATTTTCGCCAGTGCACATCACTATTGTTACCGGTACCAAGCATGTAGGACTTTGAATAGAACATGTCAAGAATACATTCTCCCTGACGAGGGTACTGACAATGGTAATACTTTTTTCAATCCATACTTGGAAAGCACCCCCAGCAATGACCAGTTTTGTATGCAGGCCCACCAAACACTGGATTGTGTGACTCTCCTATACACACAGGGCCTTTAGTTAACATTCTAATCCGAGGAATGGAGTGTTTTCCCCTGAACCTGAACCTGCAGCGAGAACAGAGGAGAGGGTCGCGCTAACCCACATTGAGACAGCAATCATTTTCACATTTTAGTCTGCTCAGCTCAGCACAGGATTCAAACTCACGCTCATGATGAAAGCATGATGTGAGCAAGATGACGATCCAATTGCACCACACTGCTTCCTTCTAAAGAATTTTTTTTCAATGGTCTTTTTATTTCAAGGGTCTAAATTGGCAAGTGCATGAATGGCTATGCTGTGGCTCTTATGCAAGAGATAATTATAATTATTCAGTATCTCTTAGATTCATGAGTAAAGTCTGTTACTGTATTCTGATATCTGTTGTTTTTTTTCCTTTTGTAGGTCTCTTAAAAACAGTTTAGAGTTAGAAAGAGTCTCCCAAATTAAAATGTTAAAATAATTCAGGAAAAGCTCTTACCAGTAGGTAGCTACATGTATGGGTCTGTTCTATCACATGACACCAAATTATCTGATGATATTTTATGCTCGAGGGAGCAACCGCTATATGACTTGTGTTCGCAAAGTGTGGAGTTGTCACTTTTTCCAACTTATTTTTGAGTTGCACTTAGATCCCATGTGTTAGCTTTAAATGGAAGTCTTGACAATTTTGTATCAGTGGTTAGATGCTAGACCATCCGGGCTCTTGTTTGTTTGTTCAATTGGTTCATGACTTTCTTGACTTATTTATGAAGTTATTAGTTTAGGTTCAAATGTCATTCTGTTGAATCACCTATATTTTGCAAGTTTGTCTGTAAATGTGGCTGTAAATTCAGGTGCCACTAAAATCAGAAAACTGTTGTTGTAACCATGACAATTTCTTTAAGTTTATGAATGGTGTTGATTCACAGGTTTCACGCTGTAAATCAACCAAAATTATTGGACATTCTCGCCTCTCTTTCAAGAGAATAAAAATCATGTATATGATTACCTTTGTTTGATCAAGTTCAATATTACTAGCATATTGCTTTACCTTCATACAACACGTCACTCCACTGCTGCAGATTGAGCTTGCAGTATTATTTCAATATTGCACCCTGACCATGATCTTCTCATAATATTCAATCCTGCACATGGCAAGGGCAATCATTCACAAGCAGTGCCGCCTGCTGGCTTCAATCGCTTGTTCCCACAGTAAATTTCACTGCAAACATGTATTTCATAGAATGTGTATGTGTAATAGTAATATTGGCTTTCTTTTGTGGTATATCAGATACTTTTTATTCACCTAGCATGAATATTACGATTGTCTGTGACTCGTGATATATTCACGAGCTGAATGCAGTATAACTGATATTTCACTCAAGGGCAGCCGATATGAAACAATTGCAACACCAAAACTTGCTGTGAAAGCCATCATCTGTCAACACTCAAAACAGTCTGCAAAATGTTCATGTTGCTAATGTTTCTGGTTTTACATGAATCGTGTAGTATTTTTGAAAAATGTATATAATACAAAATGTAATATTCCATCCAAGTTCAGTTTATTTCATTTAGTGTTTGTTTGAAGTATTCCCTTGCTTGTCCAAATTTGTATAGATTTTGTTGCCATTTTGTGTAGGTATCACTATACATGTATAATATAATGATATTAGTTGCAAGCAGTAATAATCAGCTCATGTAACTTAATTTCTGTTTTTGTTTCATTTTCATTAAAACTCATGTTTATGTTTATAAAATGCAAACAGTAGTAAATGATTGATTTTCTTGCTCTTCCTATGAAATAAATGTGTCATTTACCATGAAGTTGCAATTACTCTCAATTATAAGGTAACATCAATATGGAGAACTTTCAACTTGTATTTCGCATCAATTTTTAGGCCAAAACAGTATCACCCATTCAATGCCATGTGGTTTTATCGATTGAATACACATTGATGACATGAATTCATGATATTAAAATTATCAGTTGTTTAAAAATGTATCTAAGAAGTACTTTGATCTTTGCTGCATTTCAAAAGTTGAACATTGGATATGAAATATGTTTGACCCATTCTAGGACACTCTAGCCTTCATAGTATGTAGCACTGGAAATCATACACACAGATTGGTGAAAGTTTGAACGAAATTGGATTAAGAGTTAGAAAATTTTAGAAGTTGAATTTTTGTAATTCACTCTACTTTCATGTAAATAAATAATAATTACAGTGCTTATATAGCGCCTAACACTTACTTTGTCAGAAGTCTCTAAGCGCTCTACAATAATGCAGCATAATTACCCTGGCTTTAGCAGTGCAGCTGTTACGCGCGCTGCGTTTCAAGGAATAAATTCCTACCAGGTACCCATTCACTTCACCTGGGTGAGGAACTATCAACTTGGCGATTTGATATTGTCACAGATTTGTAGTGGCAGACATCTCTCCTAATTCGTCCAACTACAAAATTACTTACAATTTTAAGCGGGACCTCATAACGAATTTCCTTAACACACATGTTCACAAATGGAGCGGTAAATTGCCTCTAAAAGTGCCCCTTTTTTACACGTAAAATGAACAAAAAATTAATGGCAAGTGAGCGAAACAAAGGACTTGCATGTATTCACCGCGGCACTCTCTGTTATAATATACAGAAATGTGAAGTGTATTACGTCATCATAAGAAAAAACGCATCACATCTGAAGGAGCCTTAAATGGACACTCTTCCTCTCCTCGGTGTAGGCCTAAATGATGTTCGTTTTGGCTGTTGCCTGAATGTTAGAATTTTTGCACACTTTGAACTTACCCTTACTGGTACAAAGGCTAATCTTGACCTATTTATTTCTCTCAAATTCTTCACGCATCTATTGCATCCTTGTGAGACTGCACGCTCCTGTGTATTTCTCTTTGCCAGATATCTGTATGTTTTTTTTTTAAATTTATGTTGTACAAGAGAACCATCTACCTCACTCTACTAATCTAGTGTTTGTATTTGAGATAACGACACTCCTCTTGTCATGAATTTTCATCTATCCAAATAAGTGGGAGAGTTGTCCTAGTTCTATCACAATCATCTGACCAATTTGCCAATTTTGTAGATTTGCATGTGCATTTCCATTTTGTGGAGGTGTTGTGGTCTAGTTGATTTGTCAACATGGTTCATGGTTCATCTCCCTTTGGCAAGACATTAATCTGTATTTGCCACAATCCACCTAGGTGAGGTAAATGGGTACTTGCCAAAGATTAAATCCTTGAACTACTAGAGCGCCATAATGGTAGCCATGCTAGAGCCGGGGTAACAATTGTGGAGAGTGCCAGGAGTGTCAAATCTGACAGAGCGCTATACAAGAACCCACTTATAGTAGTAGTAGTAATCTCAAGTCTGAAATATTTATAACTTTCTACTGAGTATATATAATTGCCCAATTTTGTTCAAACTTTCAACAACACATTTTCTTCTGATTTTTGTGTTTTTACCTAATTGAACCTTATGAGAAATCTGTAACATTTTCCTTCCAGTACAATGCCAGCATGAACTTACAATCTTAACATGAAGGCTCTCTTGACAAATACCTATTCATGTACATATTTTTTGTAAATAATTGTACAAAGCTTTAAAAACAATGCAAACACATTACAAAAATGATTACAAATGAACTAGATTTTGAATATTTACCCCCTTTTCGAACATATTGTTAGTATTTGGCAAAAATATTTTTGGAATGCATTTGTGGTGAAAAATAGAAATTTAGCACATTTCCTATTACAAAACATGCAAGAATAGAAATGAAGATGTTGAAAATTATTCAAAAAAATTAAAAACAAGACAAATTGTTTCTTTATTTGAATGATATTTTGTTGTTTAAATATATTACTAGCAAGAAAAGTGAATAAAATATGTAAAAATATCTAATGCATTGTGTGACTTGCCCTTATTTCTCTTGATTGTTACAGCAACAGATTTTGATGGAGGATTGTATAAATAGAGAATATGATGTTGTTAATATAAGATGTCAAAATATTGAAGAAACATCACTCTCGTTGAATGAAAGATATAGAATAATGAAAATCTTTATAGAGGTTGGGATCACCCGGATGGGGAAAAGATAGAGAGATGCAAGAAACGGAAATCATTATTTAAAATAATAATAGATAAGTCCTTTTGGAACACCATGTAAATTATATTTTTAAGAATGAACTGGTAATAGGAAAGCTGAGAAGGGGTTCTCAAAATATACACGAACATGTAGATCTACATGAATCTTTTTTTTTACCCAACAAAGCTCTATTTCCGACATACGCCCTCTAGCTCTTAAAATTGGAACAGCGCCAGACGGAAACCACTGACGCTGAATGACGTAGCAACAGGTTGTCAATCATGTCGAAGCCTCTAACAGGATAACTGGTAATTTAATATTTTGACTGAAAATTCTCTTTTCTCTAGTTTCTTTTTCTTTTAGCGGTATCAGAATGTTTACACCATTCCTTTTTTTTTCGAGATACCGATCGTCCGTCGACCGCGACCGTCTAGTTTGTCACGTACGCGCGAATGTTTGTAGGCCTACTGCTTCGCCTTCAGGCCCTCTCCTCCGATCAGCTCCCCGAACTTCAGGTAGCCTTCCCCATGATGTCTCGTCGGCGTAGACGTGTGATTGATGATGGGGCTTGCCTTGGCTTTAGCTAGGCTAGTACAGTGCAGTAGTAGTCGGGTTAAATAAAGTTACACACTTTGTTTTCAAGAGCTGTAAAGTCATTTAATTTAGTGGTCTATGCCTAGATCTAGGTGAATTTCTTCTACCTAGCCAGGGTTTATCTTTTTAGTTGTAGCCTAACTTTAGAACTTAGATTAGTCTATAGTAGACCTAGTCTAGACCTAGATCTAGATTATAGACTACTCTAATTATTCTGAACTTGACTGCAGTCTGAAGTAATCATTGAGAAAATTACAATGAGCAAATGTCAATGATATTACATGCTTCAAGTCGATATCGATAGGGACACTGATCTGATACCCAGGCATCATGATGATCATGATCAAAATTTGGTTGTCAAAATTAAAGGGTCCTTACTCCTTACTTAGACTATTTTAGTTAAAGCCTCAATAAAGGCATTGTTTAACAATGTTCCAGTTTTACAAATTTGAGATGCATGGCCCTACGTCAGTAGACCTACATGTTATCAGTGGCTTTGAAAAGGTGTAAAATTAAAGCCCTAAAAAATTAAATTGCGCTTCAAAATGATCATGAAGTTACTTAGACTCTAAAGTATAATATTTGAGTGACCGATTTTCCCAATACTTGTTTTTTCCAATTGACTGTAGATTCTAGTGTTATAAAAACCGTTGGGAAATTTTTTGTGTCTGACCTAAAGGTTTATAATTATGATTGCAGCATGAGCTAAATCCAGGATTTTATTTAGAATCTGATTCTGATGGCGTCGGATGCAAAGATACCCAACCCCTTTAGGTTGTAAGTTAACAGATAAATATTTCAGCCTGATTCCTATCTACGGACAATTTCACGAACAATAGAGAAAAAATGCAAATTCTTTTTGGCAAACCTAATGAGATGCACATTGCTCAGACTCTGACACCCAGCATTTTGGTTGTATTGCGGATATTTGCGGGGTGCGAGTAGCTCAAAAGACCCATGTAGCTTTAGAAACCGTCTTCTTATTCTTCTTCCTCCACTCTATTGGAGATCAGCAGCTTCTGGAGTACTGCAGTCGTGTACAGTAATTATAGCAGGCAGGAATGTCATGTCAGGTAGATTGTGTATTGGAGAGTGCAATAACACGAGCAGAGTGGATATTGTATAAAAATGACAGTGATGTATTTAGAAGAAGGTTCGGGCAGACAGTAAGAGCATTCAAAAAAGTAGTATTGTGTGCAAGTAAAAGAGAGAAATGTTATTACCTTTCAGTTATTTAGTGTCCTATGCTAATTTATGTTTCAAATTTTGTTACTTTTCTTCTTGTATGGTTTCTCTTACTTAAACAGCTCATTCTGATTCTGAATTGTGAGCAGTTTTCAAGAAATATTGAACAAAGGTCACCAGAATAACCTCTCCTTGACCTTTGACCTCTAACGTCAGGACTGCAACCATGGCAGAGCTTGCTGAAAGGCAGCTGGTGGTAGATGCCATGTTTGCTCAGTATGACAAGGATTGTAAGGGGGAACTGAACCCAGTGGAACTGCAACTCTTGCATGAGAGCCTACGCATGGGAGGAATCAGTATACCTCAGGTAAGCAGAATGACTAGAGTGCATGCATGCCCATGTCTGCTTATAGCCTTAAACGTGTAACTGCACGATTCTGATAAAACAAAACATGCAACCAACACAAAATGTCCATCTCTAATCCATTGATACACATGCATTATAAAATATAAATTTAGAAAAAAATGTCAAAATTTAGATTTTAGTACTTTTTATCCTAAGTCTTGAAAATGCTATCTTTCAAGTGAAAAAAATAATCATGAACTGCATGTACTATGTAAAGTGAATGAGTGCGCAGACCATAGGCGCCGGAAGTGGGGGGGCAGGGGGGGCAGTTGCCCCCCCAGTCAAAAAAGTGGGGGGGCAAAACGCATTTTTGCCCCCCCAAAACGCCCCCCCCCCCCTCCAAAAAAAAAAAAAAAAACAGTAAAGGAGTAAACATGGTTTGTATTTTTAATCCAAAAGAACGTAACAATAGTAAAAACCTGAATTAAATCACATATACAATTCCAATCAAAGAAAAAGGAAAGTTCACAGGAATTAAATTTCATAAACATTGCGCATGCCACCTATACGGTATTTTAAATGGAGGTCTCTATTATAGCGATACGCGCATATCGTGGACATATTGTGCGAGAATGGGAAAGCGTGTCCGTTTTTTTGTTATAGGGGTGAGAAGACATGAGCCCCTGAACGCTGGCGTACTGATAGGGGGGGGGGGTGGGGTTATGTATTTCTTATTCGAAACAAGTGATTTACAAATGTTGATGTTGTGACATGATTTTCCGGCATTTTTTCTCCATTTTTTTTGTAAGTCATACCTTTTTATGCGTTTGTTGGAAAATAAGAAATTCCCACATTACAGTCAGGCGAAATACGCTTATTTAGAAGCCTTTATGTCATGGTCTGCAAAGTGGCTGGGCTCGAGCCCCCCCCCCCCCCCACCCCTCCTTTTTTTTTAAAGTATGTTAAAGAGAAAAAGAAAGAAAGACGGAGAGAAAAATAAGTGACCTGCCAATGTCACAAATAAGGTATAAAAAATGCTCATCTGACCGTAATTAAATGCTTAAAACCCCAGAGCTTACGGGGGCTCCACCCCCGGACCCCACCAAGGGACCTAAGGCGGGCCCCTGGATGCTCATTTGACCGTAATTAAATACCTATAACCCGCGAGCTTCCAGGGGCTCTGCCCCCTGGACCCCACCAAGGGCCCTAAGGCGGGCTCCTGGATGCTCATCTGACCGTAATTAAATACCTAAAACCCCTGAGCTTCCGGAAGCTCTGCCCCCTGGACCCCACCAAGGGCCCTAAGGCGGGCTCCTGGATGCTCATCTGACCGTAATTAAATACCTAAAACCCTGAACTTCCGGGGCTTTGCCCCCTGGACCCCACCAAGGGCCCTAAGGCGGCCCCCTGGATGCTTATCTGACCTTAATTAAATACCTAAAACCCCTGAGCTTCCGGGGGCTCTGCCCCCTGGACCTCACCAAGGGCCCTAAGGCGGGCCCCTGGATGCTCATCTGACCGTTATTAAATACCTAAAACCCCTGAGCTTCCGGGGGCTCTGCCCCTGGACCCCACCAAGGGCCCTAAGGTGGGCCCCTGGATGCTCATCTGACCGTAATTAAATACCTAAAACCCCTGAGCTTCCGGGCGCTCTGCCCCCTGGACCACACCAAGGGCCCTAAGACGGCCCCTGGATGCTCATCTAACCGTAATTAAATACCTAAAAACCCTGAGCTTCCGGGGGCTCAGCCCCTTGACCCCCTGCCGAGGCTCATGCCCTGGACCCCACGCCAATTTACGCTCTACCTGATTGATAATACTCCACTTTGAAAAACGTTCCGCGGGACCTGCATATAACGTGTAAGACTGGTGGTGATGCAGATTTTTCGTCTGCCCCCCCTCCCTTCCGAATTTTTTTCTCATTACGTCACTGCCCCTGGAAAGTGAGCCCCCTGGAATGTTTGCCCCCCCAATCCCAAACTGCTTCCGGCGCGCCTGGCGCAGACATTGGAACCTTTGTTTTTGAAATGTCAAATTACACCGCCATCTCAGGGTGCTACAAGAATTTTTTTCACCACTTGCCCTGTCGGGCAAGTGGGTTTTCAATTTACTTGCCCAAACAATATTTCCACTTGCCCAAAACTTTAAAGCGAAAAAGGACTCGAGGTTAAAGCATTTATTATCTCGTAATAAATATCTATAAATATCATGCCAAAATTTGTAAATTCTTACTAAATAATAATATTGAAGATATTTTACGATAAATCTCGGATAAGTATGCGAAAACTAGACTAAACAACGTCGCTAAAACCATGAAAACAAAACAACAACGGCTTATATTCTGGGGGTCTCGATACTATTATCAAAATGACTCGCTCGGTCGGATCTTGAGACCGCAGTAATAAATTGAAAACGAGACAAAAACATTCATCTGATTTATATGAGCAGCGAGTTTTAAATAATATGTTCACAATCATTAACAGTCATTATGAATAAATATCAAACATTTGACTTTTTGTACTTACTAGAAAATCCCTGTTGTTTATTCCATTCCGATTCGCACGTGTTCATTTCCCTAGAATAATGACGTCATATTTGGCGTGATTCAACCAATCGGCAATCAGAGAATAGCAAAGGCCTGTCGGTGCGGCCTGCAGAGCTAGAGAGAGAGAGCGCGAATAAGCTCGCAGCTGGTACGATCGCGCTAGCTGTCTCTAGCTAGCTCACGGCCGGCCGTGCGTGGAGGCGGAGCGGCATTCATGGCTTGAAGTGTCACTGTTGCATGCGCGCTGAGCTAGCTGAGCTGGCTAGCTGTCTGTGAAGTTTTTTCGAAATCGGAACGATCGCTTTTTTGCTTCTGGATTTTGACGACGGGTAAGAAGTTGACGGGTGAATGGTAGAGTTCTTGGACACTAGGAAATTACTGTAAAAGTATCACTTGCCCGAATCGGGCAAGTGATAATTTGATTTACTTGCCCGACGGCTCAATTTGGTTGCCCCGGGACGTCGGGCAAGCGGGTTTGTCGCGCCCTGCATCTTTTCTTTGTGAAAATGAAATTATTCTTACTCGAATTTTGACAACTGAATTTGGCAAATTTACTCTCTAGAAAATAGGGTATAAGATGAGATTAAGCGGAAAATCATGACAATAGAAAATTCTTGTCAGTTTCAAGTGAAATTTTAGTTGCGCAGACTCAGGGCACCCCTTCAAACAACCTCAGTACATCGATCAGCAGGGCTGCTTTATATCCCATTTTACTTGATTATTTTTAGTGGATTGACTCTCTGTCAAGCAGAATTGAAAAGTATTTGGAATTCTTGATTATTCTAAAGTAGGTTTAGAATTTTGTTTTTAATTGTAATTATGTATAAGACAGTTCCTATTTGTATTGTATGCTTTGTACCTTGTTTATTGTTTTATTTTTTTAATGGTTGAATAAAGTGAACGTCGATTTGATTTAAAAAATGATATACTGTATAAGGCAATAATATCCAATTGACACGTCACAGATATTAGGACGAGCTGTTTTTGCTATAATTACAGGCACGTGCATTGCCTCCTTATTTTCAGGTGTTTCTATGTAAATTCCCATTTGCAAACTTGTGAACAGATGTGTGCATTATCTGACCATTCACATAGACCACTCCAGATTTATAGCGACTCGCTGAACATAGTGTATATTTTATTGTTGTTTTTGTTTTGTTCTTTATCAAGACAGGAAATATAAAGGTAGTCATTATTTCAATTTCTCTAATGTACATGTAGGTGGCGGCATCCATGATGTACTGCTGTGCCTTTGAGGATTCCTGTGATCCTAGTGAACTGTTCAGTGTCCTGCAGGAGATGGACAGAAGGTACTTCCTTCTCCAGGACTTCTGCTGGGAGTTCAATCTCCTGGACAGGGAGCAGAAGGGCTTCATCACAGAGGACCAAGCAAGGTGAGGAATACGCCATTTTAATGTATAATGCCACTCTAGACCCAGGAGTATGGTTGGGATGTAGGGTTTCATCACAGAGGACCAAGCAACGTGAGGAATAGAGCATTTTAATGTATAATGCCACTCTAGACCCAGGAGTATGGTTGGGATGTAGGGTTTCATCACAGAGGACCAAGCAAGGTGAGGAATACGCCATTTTAATGTATAATGCCACTCTAGACCCAGGAGTATGGTTGGGATGTAGGGTTTCATTACAGAGGACCAAGCAAGGTGAGGAATAGAGCATTTTAATGTATAATGCCACTCTAGACCCAGGAGTATGGTTGGGATGTAGGGTTTCATCACAGAGGACCAAGCAAGGTGAGGAATACGCCATTTTAATGTATAATGCCACTCTAGACCCAGGAGTATGGTTGGGATGTAGGATTTCATTACAGAGGACCAAGCAAGGTGAGGAATAGGCCATTTTAATGTATAATGCCACTCTAGACCCAGGAGTATGGTTGGGATGTAGGGTTTCATTACAGAGGACCAAGCAAGGTGAGGAATAGGCCATTTTAATGTATAATGCCACTCTAGACCCAGGAGTATGGTTGGGATGTAGGGTTTCATCACAGAGGACCAAGCAAGGTGAGGAATAGAGCATTTTAATGTATAATGCCACTCTAGACCCAGGAGTATGGTTGGGATGTAGGGTTTCATTACAGAGGACCAAGCAAGGTGAGGAATAGAGCATTTTAATGTATAATGCCACTCTAGACCCAGGAGTATGGTTGGGATGTAGGGCTTCATCACAGAGGACCAAGCAACGTGAGGAGTAGGGCATTTAAATGTATAATGCCACTCATTATACATTCTAGCCCCAACTGGTTGGGGCTAGAGTATTTTGATTTGGATTACCACTCATGATCCAGGATTGTGGAATGGAAACAAAACTAGAGTGCGAAACAAGTTTCAGGGAGAAGAACAGATGACTTAACAAGATAAAGAACAGAGCATTTGATCTAAAACGCCACTTCAGACCCAGGGGGTGTTGGGGAAACTGCAGGAACACAAGTAACAACTTACTGTAAGCAGTGTTGACTGTATTCCTATTTCTACCTAGGTTCATGTTTGAAGCTGTGCATGGAAACCTCTTCTCTCGTCGTCGTTGGGAGAAGTTCGTGCGTAACAGGCCAGTCAGAGGAAGCGGTATCAGCTTTGCAGAGATTGAGGTGGAACTGTGTAATATTCCTAACAGACAAGAAATAGCCTTGGAAGAATATGAAGAGCTAAGGGAAAAAGAAGGTAAAGGGTGATCCCATGCTATTTGTCGTATCCAAAAGTGAAGTTATCTTATATCAAAAAAGTTTGAGAATTCAAGTACGATCCATTATATCTCTCTTGTCACAACATAATATTTGCTATGTTAGGATCATTTGAAAGTGTGTTTTTTCCTTATTAAAATGATACCCCACTTGTCACAATTTTTCAGTCATGGAATGTGCAGTCGATCAAAATAAGGGGCAAGGTCAAAAGTTGCAAAATGCACTGCACCTGTTTGATAGCGCAATTCAAATTGCCCTTTTGCACAGGCCTTTTCAACAGTTATTGCCTTAGGTATGATGCTTCAGAAAGATGATGACCAAACAGTAGCAAATATTGCCTGACATGTCACCATAGTGCATGAATTTCCCTTTTTTGTTGTTGGTTGGATTGTCTATACAGCGGTAATCAGATCAAGCCCCCAGTTACATTGAAAAACTGTTAAAGTCTCGCTAAAAGAAAACTGACAACCTGCACAGCTTCCGAGATACTCTGTTGTAACAGACCCCATCACATGAAACTAAAATAAATTAGAGATCTAGCATTTGCCTGCACAGGCCCAAAACCCTGTAATGACTTACCTTTGAAAAACCAAAATGCACATCTTTTCATTTAACTTTAAGTTGTAGATTTAAGCACTCCAGTAGCTCTAGCAGTGCAGCTGAATGTATTTGCATAATAATAATAGCCACATTTGTGTAGTGCTCAATACTACGTTTCTAAGCGAATTATATTGAAAATTTTATTATCATGGTCATTGGATTCAATTGCTTATCCATGTGTGATATAGCTCATTCTCTGCTCCTTGGGGAGTATTACACTTGTGCCAGTCCAACCACATAAACGTTACCCAATGAACACCTGGGTGGAGGGTGGCAAATGTAGATTAATTTATTGCCAAAGGACATGATAGTGCAGCGCTGGAACTTGAACCACGATCTTTTTCATCCACAATCCAGTGACATATCTGCTAGACCACAACACCTCTACAAGCATAGTGTCTGCACTTTGTAAATGTATATTATTGTTGTTGCTGTTGTTGTAGATATTGTTTAATTTGATGATGATGATTATCAATATTATTATAGTTATTATTATTATCATTGATTGCAGAAAGAAGCAAGAAACATGAAGGGAAAAGGCAGCAGGAGGAGGAGGCCAGAGAAGCGAAGAGAAAACTAGAAGATGAAGAGAGGAGGAGGAAAGCAGAGGAGCAGAGGAACAAGGATAATGAGGAGAGAAGAAGAAGAAAGGGAGAAGAGGAGAGGTTGGAAGACCAAAGAGCCCAAGAACACAGGGAGAGGGAAGATGAAGGTGAGAATAGGAGCTCAAGGTTTAACTCTTGAGAAGTATACATTACATTTGATACAGTGATTACAGTACACAATATAAAGAATACCTATGTACAATTAAAAAGTAAAAGAATCTTGGAAAAGACAAAAGGAACAAAGTAACAAAAGTACAATGTAACAATGCACACAATACGCCAACATCGTCTTTATACTTCATACTTTCGTTGCTATAGAAAAAGGTAGTATGTATATAGGCGATAGGGGAGTAAAAGAAATAATTGTTCACATTTTTGAATTACCAAGTTGATCCCAAGTTATTTAACTCTCTATATGATATGGATTTAAACCCACAACATCCACATTGTTATGGAGTTTAAAGGTATTGTAAATTAGCTTTGTATATGTGACAAATGTCAACTATAGCTGCAGTTCATTATGTTTTAAATTAGTCCACCAAAGCAGCCAAACCGTTAATCCCCCTTCTGTGATTTTTAATCAGAGAGAGGAATAAGAGAAGCAGCTGAACGAGAAGAGGATCGAGATAAGAAGGAGATGAAAGACAAAGAGAAGGAGCGGAATAGAGAGCTTGAGATCATTGAGGTTCAGCAAGCCTTGGAGGCGCAGAGGGAGCTGGAGGCTAAGGCTATAGCCCTCCAGGAGGAGGAGAGAGCAGAGATGGAGAAGAATAAGAATGTGGAGGACGAAGCTAAGGTATGCATGCATGCTACTATCCTTCACAAAACAATATCATTCTGAGTGATATTTCTACCGTAATTTGACAAAATGCAGCAACATATTTTCTTCTTGAAAATTTTCCAACCTGTGAAGTGCTTTTAGCATTCTTAAACATGGGCACTACATAGGGCATACCTGCCACCTGTTCCGATTTTTCAAAATTCTGAATGACCAAATAATTTTTTTTTTTTAAACCATGTGCCCCGATTTGAGAGTTAGCGTAATGCATGCGTTGAATAGCTGCACAATCGAGCTGTAAATTTGTATTTGCATTGCCAGTTCACTGCCGCTGCATACATGGCCATGGTAAGGCTGTGCAATCGCCTGTTTAATACACATATACATGTATACCTGCACCCCTACAGGGGCGCTGCCCCTTGACCCTGAGAATCCCTGCTAAGGGTACAGATTTCTTATTTTTAAATGTTGGCCGGTATGTATAGGGTTCCTGAGTAAATGCTTAATATACTCTTACTGTCCAAACTTTTTAGGTGTGTTGTCATAAAACTTTCAAATAACCCTTTTGACAGTTTAGTTTGAACTTTTACCAAAAAAGAAAATGGTATGAAACAACTGCATACAAAACCTCAGATGCCTGGTGATTTTGTTAAAGGATTGTTTAATTAGGGAAGAAATATTTAATATTTTAAAATATAAATTAAATGTTCCAATTAAGTAATTAGCCTCATGTGCTTTGAAAAAAAGCACTGAAGTTTACGCATATTATGTTGTTTGTGGTGAAATTGCCTCCATCCCTTTAATCCTCAATTAAAAACACTTGAATTTGACAAGGGAAGGGATAAGGAATGTTAAAGACGAGTTCAGATATGACACGGTAAACCAACGTAAAAAGATGTTTTTTTAACATGGACATGAATGGAACTGCGCATACAAAGGTCCTGGGTGTAATCACTGAGCTCTGGGTAATAAGATGGAGGAGTGTAAAGTGTATTACAATTCATATCAAAGAACCGCTGCAGTTTTGCGGCATCATACCTGAACAAGGCTTAACATGGTATACACTGTCAAATATTATGGATTCTTTTGACTTGTTAGGAAGCAGCAGAGAGGGCTAATGCAGCGGAGGAGGAGGCTAAGAAAGCTGCATTGGCCGTCAAGGAAGCCACAGACTCAGCAAGCAAGAAGGCAGCAGAGGATGCAGAGAAAGCTGCTAAAGAGAAAGCAAAACGTAAGATCTCTATATTTAACAAGACAGTTTTACCACTTCTACAGGAAGAAAAAAAAGAAAACAATCGTAAATGCTCTACCGACAAGGATAGTAGATACATGCTTTGGACGCCGTACAAATGACTTTGGTCCTTCTAAACCACCTCCATAGAATACAACTAAGCCAAATTTCAATTAATTTGGATGAAGGGTATACAGAATCCTGCCTAGAAGCATATACCTTCTAATGAGTACATTGTTTTTCTCTTACATGATATCAGGTGAACGTCACAACAAGATCCGCAAGGAACTCAAGGTGGCCATCAAAGAAAAGGACAAGGCCAAGTTACAGAAGTCGGTCAAGGATTTCAAGGATGCTAAGCTCGCTGACACAGAGGGTGATCTTGCGAAGGCAGAGTCCATCCTCAAACGCTTCAAGGCCAGAGATGGTAAGGAAGCGGTGCTTTCTCATTGTTTCTATCCCAATACTGTGCTTTTATACTCGCTTTGATTTATATTTCCCACTAGTTAAGGTTTAAATTCTCCTCTATTCTCCACTGTTGTGAAATGTATATTGTCTTATGGGGGATTCCCCCCCCCCCCATCCTTCCCAATGAACATGCCCTGGACCACTATCCACAGACATCTCCCCCCCCCCCCCCAAGAACAAGGTCCCCCCTTGCTGGAACAACTATTAACTATTCCCTAGGACAACTCCCCTGTGGACAACTATCCCAAATAACCGTCAAGACAGCTACACAAGGGTCATCAAATGAGGGAGAATCTTTCTGGAGGTCAAGGGGGGAGGGGTCAATGTCCAGGAGGGTACTTATCCTAAAGGAGTGCCAGTGCAAATTTTTGAGTGTATTTGTTATATATTATTTGCTTTGTCACATTATCTTGTTCTTGTTACGTGTTCTCGTATGCATTTTGTTTTATCTGTAAAAAGAATCGTACAATTCTGCTTAACGACTGCAAGACAGATTATTTACAAATATACCATTAAACATGAATTATTTGAATCAAAGAAATTGAAGGTTTCTTGTTTTTGTTTTTCGTATCAGATTTGGTGAAAGCCATGGACAAGCGCAGCCTGGAGGATCTTGAGAAGGCCATCAACTTTGTCAAGAAGAACGGCTACGAGGCCCACATGCCCCAGGAGATGATCAAAGCTAACAAAATGCTGCTGTCCCTCAAGCGTCTTAAGCGCCTCCGGGACGAGATCCTCAATCTGAAGCAAAGTACCGTGGCTGAGATTCGCAGTTACTCCAAACCTCCGGACCAAGTCCATAAGGTCATGACCGGCACATATCTGTTGCTAGGCAACAAGGAGAAGGAACTGCTGGTGAGTTTCATCTGTTTATTTGCCACTCTTCACCCAGGTGAAGTAGATGGGTACCCAGTAGGAAGAAACTCTTTGAATGCTTTAGTGCCTTATGATTGCGGCTCAGCAACAGCCTTGGTTATAATATGATACTCTGTATTACAAGCAGTAGAGTATATTCATATAGTAGCTGCGCTATATAAATTGACATATTATTTGATAATTTACCAGTTGATGGAATACAAATTTGAACCTGTTTCTACCTCAAGCTCAAACGTAATTGGCTTAGTAAATGCTCAAAGTCAGGGTCAATGTTAGGATCAGGGTTAGGGTTACAGTTAGGGTAAGGTTTCGGATTGGGATCAGAGTTAGGGTCAGGCCCTAGTGTCAGGATTAGGGTAATTACTGGGGTTAAATTAGGGGAGGCCCTAGTTTGAGGGTTAGGGTCAGGTTTATGGCTAGAGTTTGGGTAGACCCTAGTGTCAAAGTTAGTGTCAGGGTTAGGGACAAGGGCAGCTGTAGGGATAGGGTGAAGGTTGTTTATGTGATGGGGTATTGTGCAGCTGTCCCAAAATGCATTGTCTCATGACCTTTGAATAGAATTCAGTGGAAACTTGTTATACAGAGCCGTAATACGGTGAGATACCTGATAAAAAAGGTAATTTTAATGGTCCCAATGTCCTTGTTATAACGAGTTCCAGCTGTAATATTTACAGGTACCTGTACCAAATCTTGACTGATCCTTTTTTCTATTACTCTAATCTGCCTTTGAAGGTCTGGAAGGGGATGCAAGCCCTCATCGGTAAGACGGGTAAAGATGGCTTGAAGCGTCGGGTCATGGAGTGCGACCCCAACAAGATTGCTCTCAAACCTGCTGAGCGTACTATTGCCCTACTGTCAGTGTTTGACCTGGAGCAGGTCAGGGACGTCAGTGCAGGTGCTGCTGTGTTCTTTGCCTGGGTGAGTTAGTGTACATATTAGCTGCATTTACACTGCAAGAAAAAAAATCATAGATTTTTCTCACATTCTGATGTGTCCTCTGTAAGTTGCTACACTGTATATGCTGTGCAACAACCGGCAAACAAGACAAGAACCCAAAATCGAAAAATTAACCTCAGGAGTATGTCTTTTTTTAATGACTGCAGATTTTTGCAGTGTAAATCAAAATTTTGCCACATGACTCTCCTCACTTCTGTGCAATCACATGTAGAGTAGTAACAAGTCCTGTGTGTGCACTAGCTACTCACTAAAAAAATTGGTATGAACAAACACAGCTTTTTTTAATGGGTATTTCTAATAGTGTAAATGGCAGTCCAAAATTTTTTGATTTTCAAAATGGGCCTATTGGCTGCTTTGAAAAGTATGGTTAAAACCATTGTCCAAGGTGATTTGGGAGCTGTTATGCACTCCTATAGACCAAGTTGAAGGGTACTATAGTGCAGTCTCAAGATCACCAAAATGTGCTATAGTTTTAACTGTTATCAGAAAAATGTAAATGAGCAAAGGAGCTTCAAAAAACAATGTGGAGATGGGAGAAAAAACGGATAGGACACATCTTACAGGGAATAATATGCTTAGGACATCTTGAAAGGGAAGATAAATGTTTAACAGGGAAGAGGAAGACTAAGAACTGGGATGATGTCAATTCTGGAAGGTGACAGATCATATGACATAATGAAGAAGGCTAAAGATAGAGAGGGATGAAGAAGGAACTAAAGAAGGCTCAGGTGTGTGGACCTGCCTTTTGAAGAACACCTGTGAGAGAGTTCATTTTAGAATAATCACTTTTAAAGTGATTGAGATGCTTAATAAATACTTTTTTCCCCTTTTGAAAAGGAATATTTCCACCAGTCAGGCCTGATAATTACCCAATTTAACCTGTTTCCTGATTTGTTATGCCTCCGTTACGAAGTAGCCGGAGGCATTATGTTTTCGGGTTGTCCGTCCGTCCGTACGTACGTCTGTACGTACGTACGTCCCGTTCTTGTGATCGCGTTATCTGAAGAACCGATCGATGGATTCCTGCCAAACTTTGGTCATGTATGTATCTTGCAGAGCCGATGAACTGATTAGATTTTGGGGTCACGAGGTCAAAGGTCACAGGGCTCATTAGGTATGCAAAAACAGCTCGTGATCGCGTTATCTGTAGAACCGATTGATGGATTCCTGCCAAACTTTGGTCATGTATGTATCTTGCAGAGCCAATGAACTGATTAGATTTTGGGGTCATGAGGTTAAAGGTCAAAGGTCACAGGGCTCATTATGTATGCATAAACAGCTTGTGATCGCGTTATCTCAAGAACCGATTGATGGATTGCTGCCAAACTTAGGTCATGTATGTTACTTGCAGAGCCGATGAACTGATTATTTTAGTGGTCATGAGGTCAAAGGTCAAAGGCCACAGCACACATTATGTATGCAATAACAGCTTGTGATCGCGTTATCTCAAGAACCGATTGATGGATTCCTGCCAAAATTAGGTCATGTATGTTACTTGCAGAGCCAATGAACTGAGTAGATTCTTGGTTCATAAGGTCAAAGATCATGGGCTCATTATGTATGCAAAAATAGCTTGTGAACGCATTCTCATTAGAACTGATAGATGGATTACTATTTAACTCAGGACATCTTGCAAAGCCAATGAACTGAGTAGATTTTAGGGTCATGAGGTCAAAGATCAAAGGGTCGTATATGTATATGAGAAATTGCTTGTAATCACGATATTCTGAGAACCTGTCAATGGATTACAATTGAACTTGAATCCGAAAAATTTCTTCTGTTTTGGTTTGTAAAATTGCTCTATGACGGAGGCATCATTTTCGACTGCGCGCAGTCGAATTCCATCTAGTTTTTCCTGATTTTTTATTTTTTTATTTTTTTATTTCCGATTTTATCCTGATTTTCCCCGTATTTTCTCTATTTTCCCCCAATTTTCTTACTCAAAGGGGGGGGGGGGATGTTGTCAGATGCCATTTTTGTCCCCCCTGAATCCTCTTCTTCTTTTTTTATACTCAAGGGGGGGGGGCATGGTTGAGAGGGAAAGAACAAAACTTTTTTTTTTAAATGCTCACCATCACCCCTTACAAGTGTATCACAGACAACCATTGGTGCATAATGAATAATGATAACATAACTTTTATGACCATTATCTAGCATTCACCTCAGTGGAGTTTACATTATTTGGTATAAATACAAATGACCTCGTGCATGCTCAGAAAGCGCTTTTAACTTGCTTTTACCAGACCAGGAGATACCAGTAACTTTATGATGTCAAGTTCTTGAAATGCAATTCCATTTTGAACACTCAAGATTATAGCTTCAATATCGACTCATCATGACAAGTATTAAAGTTTGTCAATCACTTGAAAATAATATATGTGTGTACTGGTAGCTAGAACGTATAAAATCGACCATAACAAATGTATGTGGCATAAAACCTCTATTCCGCTCGTATGTGTAGGTTGATTAGTCTTCTCAACAAGGCAATTCTCCATCAAATGGTACCTATTGTTTTGTGCAAAATAGCATGTATGACTAAATAGCATGTATGACTAACGTGCATCTGTGCAGAGAGGCGAAGAAAGCAATCAAAGTGTTGAAGAGTAATATCTCTTTGTGGATTTAACATTCCAAGCACATATTTTGAAGACAGTTTAGTGACATGGAACCCCTAACGACGAGAGCAAAACATGTTTCAATGATTGGTACATTTAACCCAAAGCAGTTCAGAGTTTTCAAAAAATCTAAAAGAATTAGATTTTCCTCCTCAAATTGGCAACAATTATTTGTACGTCTTATTTTAACACATTTACAGTTTTAAAAAATAAAGATACACATGATCAAATGAACCAGTACAAATGAAACTTGCACTTCGTTTTGCCAATTTACAGACTTCATTAATTAGCCAACTAACAGCATCATGTACTGCGACAGATATGGACTCAAATTTTCCATGGATTTTTGCACTTTTTGCTCATGTACACTTTGTAATTCAGAGCATTCTGGATTGATCTTTTAATCAGTTATAGTTTACTTGAGGCGCACACAAGTAGTTAATTCCATTCAACTCAATTGTATTGTATTGTATTAGTAATATTTTATTTTATTTTGTTGTTTTTAAGGTATTGAACATGTGAATAATTATACTAAGTTAGACAGTACCACCTGTGCGCTTAGAAACATCTTTATAAAACGCCCTATGAATGTAATTATTATTATTATTATTATTGAAAGATAAAGAGCAACTGTCACTAAAAGGTGACTTTAAACTTCTTTGAGTTGATATATCTTTTACCTTGTACGTTAATACTTTTGTATGACACAGTCTACAGCCACGGCAGAGGATGTCATTGAGAGAGAGAGGCAGAAGGCAGAAGGTATCACGCCAACTCAACTTCAGAAGGGACACAAGACTATCAAAACAGAGATGAAATCTGGAAATATCACCATCACCATTTAGAAGGAACAAGAAGGACATTACAGCGTTACATAGTGGTATATACATATATATTGGAGAGGAATATAAAATAGATGTTTTTATTGATTGGGGGATAGAAGAGAGGAAGAGAGAGAGAGAGAGAGAGAGATGGCAGTAACTATTATGAGGGAAAGAAACAGAGAAAGGAAGATGTATGGATAATAATAATGATATTGGGTTCTTATCTGTCAGACTTGACACTCGTGGTGCTCCCAATTATTACCCTGGCTTTAGCATGGCTGCCTTACAAAGCTCTATTATTTCCAGGAATTAATTCCTGCCAGGTACCGATTTACATCACCTGGGTTGAATGTGGCAAATGTAGATCAATGTCTTGCCGAAGGACATTAGTGCTGGGGCGGGAGTCGAAACACGGACATTGTGATCTACAGTCCGGTGACTTATCCACTCGACCAAGACACCTCTAGAGAGATTGAAGCAGAAAATATAAGGAAATACAATAAAAACTATTTAAAAAAAGGAGAGATAAAGAGTTAGAAATAGTGGAAAAGGACATGAGAAGGAAATCATAGGATATAAAGAAATGAGAGAGAGAGAGTGAAGGGGAAGGGGAAAGACAGATATTCATATATATATATACTTCTATGAATAGATGATTTAGGGGATATTGTCTTCAAAATGGTTATCAATTACTTGCACAAAATAATGTAATAAATTCTGTACATTATGAAAAGTGATGTCATTCATATTAATCTATATATACAGTACCTATAATATTTTGAGAATGAGATGACATATTATTTATCTTTTATACTGAATTTGTTTACCACCGAATCATTTTATACTAAATCAACTCCACCATTTTATTTTTCTTCCTATTGATAATTATTATGAATCATTTGGACAGCTTTGTGTACATTGTATCTTGTGTTGATTACAAATTATGTTTATGATATGTGTACTATGTAGTGATTGTGATGATGATGTTTTGTAAACCAACCACTGTATGTCAGAATTTGATTATCATATTCCTTTGGTGTAATTTATTTTTGTATACTGTAGATGGACATATCATTTTTATGTATTGCATGTAGGGCCATGTCTTTCAACATACCGTACTGTATATTGAGTTTGATGTGTTGTGTGATTATGTTCATAGTCTTTATTATTTAAGTCATTCAACAATTATGCATTCTATGTAATATATTTATTAGAATGAATTCATAAGTTATATATCCTATGGAGCTACAAAGTCATTAATTCTGTGTTAAAGTATATGAGTTACCACCCTTGTGGCTCCAGACGTAATATCCTGTTAACAAACGTACTGTACGGTATAATCTGTAAATCACGGAGTTATCTTTAAATTGGCAATGGTTGTTTTGACACAAAGATTAAAATGTGATCCTTTTGCTCAAATATGCCAGTAATTGTCAAACCAAGTTGAAGTGTTACTATCACCGGCCAGGCACCACAAAACCACATATTTTCAATATGAGCCCAATAAAGCTGTACTTGGCAAGGATGGTCAAATTTTACTTTTTGATGTTTCCTGAAAGAGTACCAGTATACATATTTTCAGCAGTGTTTTGTAGACCTATGTTTGTATGATCTTTAGTTTGATGCAGTAGTTTCTTTACGATCCTGGCTACTGGTCTCATTTTGATCTCCAATATCTTTAAAACAGAGTAAGCTGGATACTCAGACAAATTAAAGATGAAGAACTTGGCGATCACTACATAACACTGAGCCAACGGGTATTACGCTCCCGTACGAACGTACGCATAAAGGGACACTAGTACGCACGGGAGAGTACTCCCTGTTGGCTCAGTGTGCTGCCCTCTATATACCCACTCTGGATCCAAGCAGACAACTTTTAACCTTTGGATTAAGTCATCGATCAGTGGAGACACATGTTTGTTTTCTTTTTCTGTTTGTATGTGTGTGTTAAATGTAGATAATTTATTTAGTGTAAATCACTTGTTAGTTTTATATTGTAACATAACAGAATTGAAATATAAAAATGCATCTTGATGTACATGTACAATATACCTTGGCCTTTGAAATGCCAATGTTTAATTGGATGATTATTATTTATCATTTTTGCAGATCATGCTTTTTCTTAAATTAAAAAGAAAAATGATACTGTTGCCTTCATGTGTTCATTGTACATTCATGTGTACACATGGAAGTGCAAAACTTGATTTCAGTATAAATGCTAATTGACTTTTTGAATGATAAATCGAGATTGATTTCTTGGCCCATAGCCCTTTACCATTTGTTCAAATGGGACACCACAAGAGAAAAAATATGATCCAATTTCACTGGTTAACAAACTTCACAAGGTTAATTATGTCAATCAATGTGATTTAGATGTAGATGTTGGTCTCATGCACCCTAAGTTGATCACAATTTCAAACTTTGTGTATTTTTCAATTCTGAGCAAACTTTAAATAAAGTTCTAGGATGAACATGAAATATGTAAATGCACATTTTTCTTGAGAGAGCGACAAAATGCCACTATAGACAGGTAGCCTTATAGAGAGGTAGCCACTGTTATAGACAGGTTTGACTTTAGGTGCTAAAGTTCATGTAATGTATGTAGAGCGCCAACATTTGGAATTCTCAGTGTATAAGCCAATATTTTGCATAAAGCTGTATTCATGGATCAAGGGTTCAATGACCACTTTGCACGTTGTTAAATTTGACTAAAGCCACAACCACTACCAATTACTTTTCAATAATTATCATTCTATTTCCTTGAATCATGAACTCATTACTGAGTGTTACAATCACTCTAATATAAGAATTATTTTGTGAGAAAGAAATGAAAATAATCTATGAAAGTGCCCCATTACGATGGTCTCAAACTGCGCCACATGACCAGGTGAGGGCTAGTGCTATAGTGTATAGACACCGACATGGTCAACTTGAGTGACTTTGAGATGTGATATTACTTGATGGAATTATTTATTCATATATAATATTATATTCGTGATCAATGAGCGATTTACAAAATTTATGAAAATAACTGCTTATACAGAATTGAAGTTTTTGTACGATTCTGTCCACTTATTCATAATATTGAGATCATTAGAATTGGAACAACTGGTGCAACTTATTAGTTTTTTTAATGTATTTACTTGTACTAGAGATAAATTCCTTTTCACCATTCCCACCTCTTATCTGTCCATGTATATGCATGATGATAATATCTAATTATTACGCCTATTTTAAATTTGTAAAAGTTGTATATTTTCAAGAACATATTATAATGTCTGTAATTTCTTTCATTGATTTAGATATGCCTTTATACAGTAGGTAGCAATAAATATATCTCTATTTCATGAAACTTGTTGATTCTACTGTGCTTATTTTGTATACTTGACCTTTGCCACATTTTGTAAGATTTTCCTCTGCCTTTTGTACTTACTGTCTCGCATCGAACATTGAGGGCTCTACATACACTGTGCGTTATTGACTGATTTAAAAGAATTTGCCTGTACCTACTTGGTTTTGTGCAGTTGTGTCTGACTGATATTGTATTTTGCCCTCATTTCTATGTACATGTATGTATGTATGTGTATGTCCCTAAATCTCTGTCTCTCTCTCTCTCTCATTCATGTTACCAGGTATCTCTATTATCTCTCTTCTCAATTCCCCCTCTCTCTTCTCTTCTCCTCTCCCTCTCTCTTTCAGCTCTCTTCTCCTCTCGCTCTCAGTCCTCTCTCTTTCAGCTCTCTCCTCAGCTCTCCCTCTCTTTCTATCTCAACTCTTTTGTCTTTCTCTCTGTTACAGGTCTTCTCTCCCTTCCTCTTTCAGCTCTCTCTCTCCTTTTATCTCAGCTCTCTTCTCTCTCCCTCTTTCAGCTCTCTTCTCCTCTCCCTCTATCTCAAGCTCTCTTCTCTCCCTCTCTTATTTCTGCTCTCTTCTCCTTTTCCTCTCTTTCTATCTTGGCTCTTTTCTCTCTCTCTCTCTCTGTTACAGCTCTCTTCTCTCCCTCTCTATTTCAGCTTCCCTGCCCCTTCCCTGTCTCTCTTTCAGCTCTCTTCTCCTCTCCCTCTTTTTTTATCTCGGCTCTTTTTTCTTTCTCTCCCTTTCTCCCCTTCCTCTTTCAGCTCTCTTCTCTCTCCCTCTCTCAGCTCTCCTCCTCTCTCCCTCAAAGTTAACCCCGGCGAAGCTCCGACGCCGGCGTCGGAGCTTCCCGGAGTTACCTCAAAGTGTACTTTGTCACTCTCTACTTCCTGTCAAAATCCATCACATTCAGTACTCTTTACCTTAATTCATTAATGCAATGTAAAACAAACGTAGTAAGTCCGACACGGTTTTATTATTTTATACAAGAGCTGATTACAAAAAAAATCCTAATTTCAGAAGAGTTCTAAAAAAATTGGTGTACACTATGTCATGACTTACATGTACATTTACTTCAATACTAAGTTCATGGTCATGCCCAGTGCTTGGACAGGCATGTTGCCCATTATATATCCAAATGTATACAAAGTATTTAATCATGTACATGTATCCAGGCATTCCCAGCCATTTAAAATATACAGTTGTATTTAAAGGATTAATAAATACAAGGTAAAATAAAAGGTATTTTATAATTACAGCAATATAGACTAGTGAAACCATATACAATCCACATTGACAAAGAATATTAACATAAAAGCACAAGGATACATGTAGATACATTTATACAAATTAGTAAAAAATGTACCTTTACCATGAAAATATGGCATTTTCTCACTCAAATGCCTGCATTAGTTACATACTCCCTCTTTTTTTATACATGTATCAATAAACTAGAATGCAGATTTGATAACACATGATTGCTATGTTAGTTAAACCTATGGCAAGGTAGGTTAGAAAGTAATAAAATAGGAGGAAAATTTATCAGATTCCATTCAAATCTCTCTCAGTCCACCTAAAAAAATGTACTGTACACATGTACAAGGTCGTTTTAAATTCAAATGTTTTTTTTCATAGAAAATCTGAATGTTTGAGGTCATGTACATTAAAGTCTGAACCAAGTACACGTATATATCTCATCTTGATGATTTACATCTCAAACTTTAGAGCATCATTCAAGCATTTTATACATCTAACAAATATTATGCTACCATAGGATTTTTTTAAAGATCATTGTAGACTTTGGATAGAAATAAGGATTAACAAGAGACTCTTTTTGTATAATTTCTCAATAATGTTCATACATAAAGGATTGTAAAGTAAATATCGGGGGGGGGGGGGGGGTACGGCACAAGGACAAGGGCTTCTTTGATAGAACTCCTCCCCCCACAAAACTCAATCTGGCAACTACACATCAAATGAATAGTATTCAACTTGTGCCAACCCCGCTAATGTACCAGTAATTGCATTGATGGATTTAAAATAAAATCACACAATAGGTCTACATTTTTAAAGACTAGATTGATCATGTGTCGCTCTTCAAATTCGCAACAGTACATTTTTCTTTTGATTGCTACATTATTCTATTAAAGTGTAATGTCTCTGAAAACAATATACATGGGTAGAACTTTGATGAAAAGTTGAACAATAGCCAATTTTGATCAAGAAACAATGATTTTGAACCTCTCATTTTGGTGCCAATTTTCCTTTTTTTTTTTTAATTCTTGGCATTACAAGCGATATGGTCATTCATAAACAAATTTGATGCATAAGGCCTAAAAAAAAAATATTAAAAAAAAGATGTTGTATTTGCCCGTTAGGTGCCAAAACATGGGTCGGTCGGTCGGAAGGAAATCTTCTTTTTTTTTCAAACTCCCTCTTTAGGCTGGTATTTTTTAGTTTTGAATGCTTTAATACATTTTTCCTAAAAAACGGTAAAAAAAAAAAAATTAATTTAAGCCGACCGTTGATTTAATTTTTTGGGGGTCGGTCGCAAAGGGCAATACAGCATTTTTTTTTTTTTTAGGCCTAAGGCCCATTTATATATCCCAAACACCATTTAAAAAAATCATGTTTAAAAACATTTTTTTAATAATAATTACACTACTTGAAAAAACATCAAAGTTTCATCATACCGATTTTTTGTGAGTAGTTCACTTCATGCACCACTCATCGAAGCTCTGCATGCATTAGCACTCTAAGAGGTAGATTTTTTTATTTTTTATTTTTGTGTTTTTGTGTTTGCATGTAGTGCTATATATACAACTACCGATGAAACACCGGAATGTGAGAACAATTGAAGATTTTTTGTTGCAGTGTAAATGCAGCAATTGTGTGCAGAATTTTTTCGATCTAAAAACTCTTTTCATGCATCTGGGTATCCTTTTTTTGTGTGAATCTGAATCCAAAGCTACTGAACCAGACCACAAGATGTGGAATGCTTGATCCCAAAAGGAACATGTAACACACAATTCTCAGTTGTCCCAAAAAGGTCATGTTACTGGTTCAAATTCTTTGTATCGTATTGTTTTCTAGCCTTGCTATAATAGTGATAATAATATGCCACACATCACTAATATGTACCTTATAAGTGTTGTAATGGAGTGAAGGAATGAAGAGTGAGATACGCTCAGCGTACTTCCTTATAAAGTTAACAGTTAACATTGGAAATTGTTTCTAAAAATAAATGTTTTAAGCAGTGGCGTAGAAGCTGTCAATCCTTACTTAATACCTATTGTTCAGGGGGATGAATGAATAGATCACCCCCCCCCCCCCCCCACAAAACATACCGGTGAGTATTAAAATGGGGGGGGGGGGTAGTGAGCAAAAAAAAATTAAACAACCAAGGAATCATTCACAAAATCATGATCTGTATTAAAAAATGCAGGTCTTTATACAGTGTACATGTAAGTGGGCTTGCAAGTAAAGTTATCATATATGTAACCCTGATGTACTGAAGTTGAACTATGATGCATATTATTTCAAGATATGAAACTATCACCAAAAAGTAAAAGATAGTACCGATAGCTGTAATAGTGCAATTTTCTTGTTGGAATACTTTATTTCATTTTTTATTCTTAATAAAGCTTTTTATTATTTTGTTCAGGGTTCTTTTTTTAAATTTTCCAGAGGTAAATTGCTCTCTTCTCCTACAGTATGCACATGCATATTTTGAATCCTAAATTTCTTCTTCTCTTTCTAAATCTCTCCTTAATATCCTACATACACTCATTCAAGTGGTAAATCCCTTTCCTAGATTAGAATGGACTTTATTCATGCATCCTTTGTGGGGCATGTACATGTAGCCATCAAGCATGAAATGCATTGCAGTATCGTTCTTAGAATATTCATTGGTAGGAATCTATTCTACATAAACTGTAGTCCCATAGATATAGAATTTTGTAAAAGTGATGTATGTATTGTATTATACAAGTATCGGAGGGGGTATGTACATATTAGTTCATGTAGTCATGTACATGGACGAGGCTTAGACAATTTTCACAGAAAATTGCATTTGAAAATAATAAAATTGCCATGTGAACACAATTTCTATAGAAGAGTTGAAAAACATTTTTTTAAACAGAACAAAACAGATGGAAATATGCAAGCCATGTCCAGTTTGGTTAAGGAAGTAATAAGTAGTCAACTTCTGATTGTCCATTATCCCTGTACATGTAAAATGATGTAATAATGTAAAATACACATACTAATGTACCGGAATGCACAATGGTCCTTTTTACAGTAAATGTCCAATCCTACTATTAAACAATGCCCAATATCACATGCATGCATGAACTACATATACATGTACAGTACGTATGTGGTCTGTACATGTACATGTAGCTTCATACTGTACATGTAAATGTAGGTACACATACAAATGTACATACGTACAAGTAAATCCATTTACATGACATGAACATTAATTGTGTGCAATACATGTGTATGCTCTTCTCATATGCTCAATACTCATTTATAAATGTAGAGTACAGTACACGTCTGTAAATTAGGTTACTGTAGATGCACATGTGAGTGTTACATGCATAAGAAAACAAACAATTTCAAAGACAACTAATCTTGGAGGATTTTCACATTCGCATGGAACATGTACATGTAAACAAAATTTCTGTCAAAAAATGATTTTTAACACTCGTTTTAAATTTTGACATATTAGGCTATGATTATCAGTGTTATATTCAGAATTAGCAATGCGCATCTAAATGTTGTACCCCTGCCCCTTACCCCGAGCAACTCATTACTTATTACTAAGCGCCATTAAGTATTCATGACTGGGTCACAAAATGTGTGGTGACAATGCAGCTCCACGCAGTAGTATCGTTATCTTCAAAATTTATCACTGAATCAAACAGATTTCATGTTCTTGATCTGTTATAAAAAAACTGAAAGCCTATTAGAAAATGAAATTTCAAATCATAAGTCAAAATTAATTTTGAATTATGATTATAGAATCAATTGCTCAAATTGTTTACATCCTGCAAATTTATGATGTGCAAAACTTCAGTTAAATAAAAGAATTATCATTGATCCAAGTGTCAAGGTCAATGTTTTATAGAATTAACACAAGTAAATACATGTATTCGTGAGGCTGACTTCCCTTTTAAAAAAACAGAACATTATCTACAAAATAATATTAATAAACCATAACCTCTTGTACAGGTACATGTATGAACGAAAATGGTTTTATACAACGTTATAAAAACACCCAAATACCTGAAGCTACACAAAATGATTCTTCAAATTAACTCCCAATCAAACTTTCTGCCAACAAGGTCAAAGAATTTACGGTTGTAGGGGCGGAAGAAATCCTGGAGTTTGCGCAGTACTTTTGGATCCACATCGGGGTGGGACTGCCCCTTCGAACTTCCCAGACATTTTAATTTCTTCTTTTTCAGGCAATAGAATCCCTTTGTTTCATTGTACACAAACTCTTTCCCATTGAAATAGTCCTGAAGACCTAGGAACTGCTCGACCCGCTTCATCTCTGGAAGTGGGTCTACTATCAGCTTAGCGCCGTCCACAAACATGATCTGAGAGTCTGGAAAGTATTCGTACCAATTCTTCACATAACTGGCATAAATACTGGTCTTAATGGCCTGATAGCTAGTGTCAATTTCACCATTTACAAGAACCTTGTCTTCAAATCGTGGAAAATTGCGATTCTTGTTCGATATGTGACTTGAGATCTGCGTATAGTCAGATATAGTCCTCACTGTTGGATCACGCACAATGGCTAAAAGTTTGATGGAGCTATTCATGCGGTAAATTCTATCTGGCGCCTCGCTGGTGATGAAGTACGCTGGCGTCTTCTCCATTGTGATTTGATCTGCATAGGAAAATGGCATTTGCTTTCTGTACCACGTCAGACCCTTTTCGTAATGGTCATCAAAGAAGTGAAGTTCTGGCTTAGCCGCGGCGATGCTTGGATGCAACCTGAGCATCTCAAGGAGTGCCCTCGTGCCACACTTTCTCACCCCCATCACGATGGCCTGGGGGAGCCTCTGTTCAAATGAACCAGTGTGTTCAGCAGAGAGTAACGAAATCTCATCATTGATTCTATCTACACTAGCCTGTAAGTCGTTAACATTGTTTTCGTAGACAGCCTTTTTTTCATCCCCGTACAGCGTGCACAAGAGTTTTCGCATCTTTTCCTTATCTGAGATCTGGTCTGTTGATAGCAAAAGTAAGAAGGCGGCTATCACCAAGGCTGCAGCCAAGACCCGACGCTTGGACAGCACATGATGGTGCAAGATCTTCATGATGTCGCAAATCATCTTGATTTTAACTCTGTTACAAACACATGGTGATCCTTTTGCATGTCTGTATAAAGTATTTAAAGAAAAAAGGCAAGAAAAGATATATAAATATCATACCCATCATTATAGAAAATACATATAACGGTATATGATATATTCACTTACATGTACATGTATGTGTGAGTGTGACATACATGTATGTGTGAGTATCATGACTTACACAAAGAGGGAGGCTAGAGTCATTCAAAGGGGGAGTCCGCCCTGATATAGAGTGGTGAAGTGTGAGGTCATAAAAAATCTATAGCCCGGTATTTCAAATTTCTCAATTTTTTCTTCATTTTCCGAAAGAGCATCAAAAATAATGTCCAAATGTTGAAAACCACTTGTATTGGCCGAGACATGACCATCTGAATAAATAGACTTCCTATAGCAACTCAGTGTTATATTGCTCTGGTTCATAACATTACGAGCCAGAGCAATATAACACTGAGTTCCTATAGGAAATATATTTATTCAGATGATCATATCTCAGCCAATACTTAACATATTCAATTGGTTTTCGACATTTGGACATTATTTTTGATGCTCTTTGGGAAAATAAAGAAAAAATTAAGAAATTCCAAAAATAGATTTTTATGATGTCACAGCTTTGGTACTCTATTAAAGATACTATGTCCCTTTTGCAGCCAACATCAAATTCTGTAGAACTTTGCAGGAATTATGAATATGTTATGTATGTCCTATCTGTGAAATTTAAACTTGAGCAGTGTCCTAATATATAAATTATGCAAGGAAACCCGTTTACTTGCGAGACTTCACTGTCAGACACTATTGAGTGACTGACTGGCTTTTTTCATCTTTGGTAATAACATACATAAAATGAGCTGTAAAGGGGACATGAGCATTTGTCTATATCAATAACCCACTTCTTGTAATGGCCAAAATTAAACTAGGCTTGAGTCGGTACGGTCGATCACACCGGGACCCGACCGTTGCCGTCGGGTCCCAGTTTTGTTTTTTGAGAACCGACGCTCCCAAAAAAATGATGAAATATGTAAGAAATTGCAGTTTTGCACACCACTAAAATCAATCCACCTTAAAACTTAAGTATTTAATTGTTACCATTCATATTCTAGCTCATCCTGAATCAATCCGAACTGCTGATATAAATATGGGTTGCAAGGCAGTTCGCCCCATGGGGTTGTTGTTGCCAGCTGCTAGCTAGCTACTGTACTGGCCAGGTCTTTCGGCAGGATAAATAAATCAGGTTGAAAGAAACATTAATGTTTGAATAATAAAACGGCCTTCTAAAGAGTACTTATTTACAACATACCGATCAAATAATTTTGAAAAGACAAAATAGATATTTTTTCTTTGATTTTGAACACCGCATGCTTCTTTTAAAAGCTGAAAATTACTTGGTAATCACAAGAAGTTTCGATACGGATAGCTGTTGGAAGGCAAGTTCAGACTAGTCTCGGAAAAATGCGCAGTGCTCCTCGTTAGCTGTAATGCGTGCCAGAACAAACCCAAACAAAGACGTGATCGTAACGAGAAAAAAATCATTAAAAACTACGAGAGCACAATTGGAAAGAGCATAAGATGTTTGAAATAAGAGATAAATATTTATTTGTCTTTAAAATATTATATGATCGGTATATTGTACAGAAGAAATTTTTAGAAAGCCGTTTTATTATTCCAACATTCATATTTTTTGACCAGATTTATTCAACCTGCATAAATCAAAATGGTGGCTCGAATGTTGTCTTTCTATTTCTGCCCAGTTTTTTTTACTTTTAGAGGCACGAAAATGGCACTAAACATCGCCAATCATGGATGAAAATAATGTCAAATGGAAGAATATACCAATCTGAGCCGAGGTATGTATGTGTTGATTTATTTGATTGATAAAAAAGGTCACTTTTAAGGGACATACTGATGATATGCGCTTTTTATAGAGGCAAGTGACAAATCCTGCGAGCTGATTTCGGGACACCGGGTCCCGATCGGTACAAGGCCGTCGGGAACCGGTTTATGAAAATCCCGACATGACTCAGGCCTAAATTAAACTGATTGAATCTTTGCACAGCATAAACGTACAACCATTCGGTACAATGGTCTGAAAAATCAGACTATTACTTACTGGCTCTATAGCTCCTACAATGTAAGTCGATTCGACAACTAATAGTCGTTATTTTCCCACTTAAAGACATTTTCAGGCCCCCCTTTTTTTTAGGGAAGTTCTAAAAGTTGGAATTTAACCTTTTAATTTTTTGGGCCTGCAAATGGGACGTAGTACATGTACCTTTAAGTTGGTTTTAATAAAAGCAGAATAATGAGATAAACAAATTAGAGAAATATCTGATTGAAAATAGGAAAGATTGAAATTTTTGAAGTTGTCATGAGTGAAACAAAAATTGGGAACTACATGTATCTTGCGAGCTCCCCTCCCATTTGCCCAGTATTAACAAATTAAAATTAATTAAAATTTCCCCTTAAAGGTAATACAAAGTTTGGGGAAATTTGAAAATTGGGTGAATGGTGATTCTTTACAATTTTGATATATTTTGATGCCTATGTAGATGTATTAAAAGCACTAGAAAATTTAGCCCCTAAAACACTTCTACTTTCGAGAAAAATTGAATGTAAAACTTTACCAGTGCTCCCAGTAAATGTTGATACATTTCAAATAGCGCCTATACGACTGTACAATGGTAGCTGCAACCATGAACTACATGAACAACCACCTCCAGTCTACGTTAGTGCTTCTAAGCGATGACTGGACACCATTCTGAGATTCTGAGATCGCATACATACCTGAATATCTCTCTCTCTCTCTCTAGCTCTAGCTGACACTTACTATTTATCTTAATCTTGCACATCATTCAATCATGTCTTTCCATCCATCCTAACTTCTCAATTGGAGTATACATGTAGACTGCTTACATAGACATTTTTTTTTATTGAAATATCTTTTTTAACATTTCTCATATATATGGCTTACTGCACGAGCTGGACACTCGTGTCTAGTGCTGTGAGAATAAGGTACTGTGTGTGAGACTACGCTACATTTGTTTGGCATGTGATCTGACCGAACCTCATACTTATTCATATTTTGATGGCGCAATGGCAATTTTTAACTCTACCAGTATTCTTGGCTTGAACAAAGACGTCACTGTTCAGTTTTCCTTCTTATTTTGAGATGGCTGTAGCTATCGGGCTCAAACCAACGCAAGATTGACTTAAACATTGTACTCTATCTACCTTTGAATGTTCAGTTTGTAAAAATCTGTATTTAAAAAGATATAATCTTTTTTGTTTATATTTTCTAGCAGTTAGAAGTGGCATTTGTGAACATCTGATATGTTAATCTCTATCAAAAGTTCTTTGACTTAAATTGGATTCCATATTTTTGGGTCTACCTTCTGCCAATGAAAAGGATTTTAGTGAGCAAACCTCTGCACCCTCTAGGTTTTTCCTGTGTGCCCATCATGTTCGTCTGCTACCACAACTATTGGATTCAAATCCAGTCTACGTCAAAATCTGCAAGATCGTCAACAAATGGTGAAAGACCGTTGCAGATCTGTGTCTATGTTGTGGAGTGTATAATTGTATTTTCTTATATATTTTATTCAATAGATATTTTTATTTTGTTTTTTTCTTTCTGGCAATTTTCTGAATTGGACAACGAGCGTACAAATCGTAGGCGTAGAAGACTTACTGTACGCCCGGGTATTGGCCTCCCTCAAGTTCTGGATAAATATCACTCTACCCTCTGCAAATCTCCTATATCCAAAGAATGCATCATCTCCTCCCATCTGAAGAGCTCTTATAGTGAGAGCCCAATTACTCACATCCACTTACTTGACACAATGCCGTCTTTTCACGCTTAAGAAATCGCCTATCTCTACATGCCCCCTTTGTAAAACCAATGATGAGACAGTGGAGCACTTTGTTGGAGTCTGCTCATACCTGGCTCATCTCCGTCAGGATTTCATCAGCAAAGTCAAGGAATGCCTCGTGGATTATCCCATCTGTCTAAACCTATATGTTGTTGATGACCCACAGCAATTTACTCCTGCTACTCTGTTACCCCTGCATCCATGCTTGCCTTCCGAAATTCATAATAACCTACTTCTACTATCGCTCTTTTTCCTACACAAAATTGATGCTTCTCGTTCTAAGACTCTCCAAAGCTCCTAACCGGTCGGATTATAAACTTTTACTTTATTTGGACTCCAGGAATCTCCAAAACAGTGGAGGGATCAACTAAGAAGAAGAAGGTGACAAACAATCCAAAAGGGAAAATCAAAAATTCGTCCAGAGTCCAGACATTCGACGTCGAAGCCTTAAACGAAGGTTTCCCGATGTCGAATGTGATCCAAATTCAGGTGGAAAATGCAATATATGATTATGATTAAAATTAGTTAAAAATTGGGCTAAAATTCCTTTGCTAAGAATGGATTTTTAAACCGCTAAAAAAATGGATACGTAACTACACTAGCGCCTCAAGTAGGCCTAGTGGGCGCGAGTTTACTGACGACATTTAAATTCCAATTCTAAAAAGTGGGGGAAGGGTATTTTCAAACTTAAATCATAGACCTCTACGTGATCCCTTGGGGCTAGCGGAAACAAAAGAACATCAACATATTCCTTACGACTTGAACTAATTATCCCTCGGGGGGGGGGGGGGGGGGTTCGATTCTCAAAAGTGGGAAATCTCCTGAGTTGCCATGGAAGCAACATTTATTAAATCGCTGTTTTGACAAGATATTTTTAGAAATCTGAAATGACACCCCTTTGGAAATATGGGGATTAATCTGCCCGTTCATATGACACCTCATTTATTGAGTATCACCTTTAGGATCACAACAGATAAAGGTTTGAATCTCAATATATTTTTTAAAACGTTGACCAATTTGCAATGCACATAGATCTAGACTGCATAGGGATGTGTGCAATGTCTATGGGAAGGGTTTTAGCACACAAAACCTGGTGCGCGATCAGACACCCTACTACTACTAGTACTACTACTAGTACTAGTGCTACTACTGCCGCCGGTGCAGTGGACGGCTTGTCTATATTTAGCAATAGCGGGGGGTACATATGGAACTTTTTCCTGCAAATCTACTTACCATTCCCGACGTACTACTGCAGTCCACAGATCCAGATGAGTTCTAGGATATAGTCTACTACATTAATGAAATATCTAAAATCAAAATGAACTCCTCAAAAGGCTCACTGTATCTGCGCTGTACTCGAACCGCCCTAGACTCAACAAAGTCTATACGTACGTATGTACTACACAAAACGTAATAGACAACTATCAAGCACAGAGCTTTAATATGACGAGAGCTAAGTCAGCTTCACTTAGCACGTAATAAATGAGTAGTATACCAGCGACATGTAGTACCGTGCCCTGTCTAGCGGTAGCTATGCTTATTATGTAGGGTCTACGATGTATTAGTCTATTAGCTTCAGTAGTAGACGGTTGTTCCGCTGCACCGAGACTTTTTCTGGCTCCTCTGACAAAATAGACCTATGTCAGTTTTATTAAAGTCACTGAGTAGTCGGCTCTCATGGGGAATTCGACACCGTTCGGGTGTTTACCCAATAACAGGTGTTGTCAATCACCAGGGTTAGCCTTGAGTTTTATGACCATTGGACCTTATGTAATGCTTTGATTTGCCCGAAGACTCTCGAGCTCTCCGAGAGATTAGGGAGTAATTCTTGACTGGACTATGGGTTTGCTGTGTGCAAATTTGTACCCCCATTAATGGTATTTCCACCAAGTCTGGTGTCAGCGAATTATGGCCTTCTGCACATGGAAACTGGCGATCCACTCCCTTTAAAGAATGACGATAACAGACGGTTGATTCTGTCTATCCCATGCCCTGCTGGTACTCGATCATGCACTAGAGCGGTTCTAGAGGGGGAGGGGAGGGGGAGGGGGGGGGGCTCAAAACCCCATTTTTTGCAATCATTGGCTCCAACCGCCCCCCCCCCCCCCCCGCCGCCCCATTACACCCCTGAGGCGACGCGACCGCCTGGTCCATTCAGTGTAACTTCCCATACCTTCAAATGTTATGTGAGTCACATTTCCCCTAACTTAGTTAAGAAATGCAAGTTAACTAGGAACCGGGGTTAGGAAAGCTACGAAAGCGCTACGAAGAAAACAAACGTAAGAGAAAAAGAAGACACATGCCGAGCTTTACTACGAAAGTACAGTATAGTTTATTCTCTCTAAATTAAACTGGCTCATAATGTTGGGTGGTATCCCTCATGCCGCAATACCAAACGAAAGTTGTTCGGGTTCATTGATGAGTAGTCATCATAGAGATTGACTTTGTCCTGGCGGAATTTGTTTGCTTGTTATATTTTCAGGGGCGGATCCAGGGGAGGGGACAGAGGGCACGTGCCCCCCGGCCCAAAAAAATTAGTGCGCACTGCCCCCCCCCCCTCACTGAGCGAATTTGCCGCCGGCGCGATTTTCAAATTTTCGGGAGCAAAAAATATATATGTCCTCTTATACCCCCCCCCCCCCGCCCCCTCCCGCTTATTCAGCGACTGGCTGAGTAGTTGCGATTTTGGGGGGATAAAAAATATAGATATATAAGTCCTCTTAGCCCCCCCCCCCCCCCACCCCCGTGTGTCCCCCGGGAAGAAATTTCTGGATCCGCCCCTGCCGATTTTTGTTGATTTTTTTTTTTGTAAGCTCGTTTATTTTTTATTCATTTATTTTGTTTAAACATTTTTTTTTAGCCCTCATCTCCAGCAGTTGTTGGGTAAATTAAGTTGGCCTTTCCAGTCTTCTCTTAATTTTGCAACAAAAATGAAACCTTGCTTTTGTTCACTAGGACGATAACAAAAAAAACGCAATACTTCAAATTAGAAGGTGGCTGTCTTTCAGACATTGTCACGGTAGAAAAGATCAATCGACTCCTTAACTTTATCCAAGATACAAGTACATGTTGATATATACTAGTAGATTTCGGATTCAGTTGGATTTCGTTCTATATAATTGTCGATTGTACAGTAGACTATAGACTGAAATCATTACTCATGATGAGGAAATAAAGTTATTGGAATACAACTCTAATCTATACGGTAATTATTAATTTTAATTACTTTTTCCAAGATAGAATCTTGCTAAAGGAGTTACATTGGCACGCAGAATTGTATACATTATATGCATAATGGCTCTTTGTTAAAAGACTTCCATGGGTAATTAAGTATGACTGATGATGCGCATGACTATTCTTTACTTTTTCACTTGTTCATCCCAGGTTAAATTATTTCTATTTTTGTATATAAATCATTTTTAATGAATTACACAGACAGCAATGTACACAACACCACATCTGATCACAGTCACATACGGACTGCAGTTTGATTATTTTTTATATAATATACAAGACTGAGCGAATATGTTTGAAAAATGATAAGAATAACAAAGAATATTGTGAGACATTCATTAATTCTTGTATACATGTGTAATGCATTATTCCAAATTTCTAATAGTCCAATTGTTAAAGATGAGTATGGTGATTTTTGTGTCCTTTAGTAATAAATTCTTCTGCTGTAAAATAATATCTTAAACGTTGAGAAAAAAAATTGTATCATCAGGTGTGACGGACATAACCTTGCACTGCAATATAAATTGTTTATCCAACAATGTATTCTTTTATGGTATTCTTTTATGCGTCTGAAAATACTCCTGTATCGATACTGATTCTTTTTTTTTTCTTTTTTTTTTACTTGATTCTCATGAAAAATATATTGATAAAATGATAATACAGATTTTCCCATACATTTTCGATTTATATTAGTATAAAAATGCTAGTCATTACAAACTATGAAATTCCATTTCGGAGGTAATCCATTTGATGGGGAGGGGTGAAGAGTCTAGTCGAGTCGGAAGCTCTCTGGTAGGCCATGATTCGTGTCCAGTGTCCCCTTTTTTTTCTTTTTTCTTTTTTTCTTTTTTAAAGCTTGTTTGCCTTCAGTTTATTCAGATTTTCATAAACAAAATGATAAAAAGGAATATAATTGTACTTACAGTACAAACATATACATTGTTTCATACATTATAAACACAGTTTCATACATTATAAACATATACATTGTTTTATACATTATAAACATATACATTGTTTCATACATTATAAACATATACATTGTTTCATACATTATAAACACAGATATATTTTTAAAATATTTTTCATAATTAGTATCCAAACTAATATAGCACATATTCAATCAAGTATACAAAACGTGATACAGTCGATTTTTCAATATACTAGTAAAAGGTGACGGTAACACTTCATATTAATATTTTTGGATACAACATGATAAAAAGAAAAATTGTGTACAGTATAAACATATCTTTTAATTAGTTCAATATAAATTAAGCAATCTAAATAAAGATTTTCTTATATAAACAAAAAGTGTGAGGTGAAGGTGCTGCTTCATAACCCATAATAAACCAATTTGTTATATTTAAATAGAATGACATGGTGCGTTTGTTTAACTATAGGGTCTTTTATCAGTAGAGATCTGTAACTATACTGTTGTAATAAAAAACAAAAACAAACAAACAAACAACAACAACAACGATAATAGTGTCAGGATCAATGAGAAAGTGAGGGAGTGAGCAGGAACGAAGAAAATGTATATACATACAATCAGCCCCACTGCCTTAACTATGTCCTATTTGGCAGGCCCAAAAAAAGAAACTGTTAAATTCCAACGGTATTTGAAAGACAATACTAATTTAGAACTTCCCTCAAAACCAAAGGGCTTGAAAATGGCTTTAAGTGGGAAAATAACGACCATAGTTGTCGAATCGACTTCAGTGATTGCAATCATCTAAGTAATAGTCTGATTTTACTGGCAATTTGTCCTTTATTTTTGCTTTTTCATATTCAACTTTTTTTGAGTTCTCTACAGCCTTACATATTTCATTGCTAGTTGGAAACTTTCCATTTTTACGATTACTTTAAATCATACATTTTGACCAAAATCAATACATGACTTTAACAACATATCATCTTTCATATTTTCTCTGAAACCAAGTAACACATCAATACATCGCATACAAACTGAAACATTTTAATTTGTTTCCCACCTCAATCCCATATCCTGAACACTTCAGTATATATTCATAGAAGATATGACAAAATGTTTCTGCACCTTTTCTACAAAAGGAACATAAATTTGACTGGATTAATCCAAAATGATTCAGTTTATCATTACAAAATACAATATGAAAGTTTGTACTGAAATTTCCTTAACTTCCTATCTATAAAGTCTGGGGATTGAGAAACATGTTTTGGGCCTAATTGCCGACTGCAGATTTAAATCTTTCACTATATTTAAAAGCAAAGGAATCTTGTATTGTAGCAATAAAAATGTTATAAAGCATTTTGGAAGACACAGACTCAAATGAATACACTGTTTTGTTAATGTTAAGTTTAATGTTGGAAAGATCAATAGCGTCATTCTGAGTATCATCTCTCCCTCTGCAACATTAAGAAAAAATACAAATCGTCTACATTAAAACCTTTCATTGTGAAATAGTCCCCTGATCTACCTTCTGCGTCAATCAAAATGTTTAACTTGAAATAGTCCCCTGATCTCATACCTTCCGCGTCAATCAAATGTTTAACCAGAAAAATGTTTACATGAAATCATTTTGCATGAAAAGGAATTATCCTACCTTAATTTTCATTATGTTTCTTTTATAATACATTCCTTCTCTTCTATAAATAATTACAGATATTCAATAAGTCCAAGTAGAGATTGGGTGCCTTGATATTGATTGTTTTGGAATTATAATTGCAAAGAAATATTAACCGTCCTCCTACCGTTCTGAGTATATATTCGAAAAGTTGTTTCCATTTCATGTCATTATTGCCACAAAGAAGTCTACTACACGCTGTGCATAATCATGTACTCGAAATTCAACATTTTCAATCCCCCAGTATATAGTTCAAATATAGAATATTCCTTTTTATTTTATCATGGCCATTCCATATAAAGTTAAAACATATCTTCTCAACTTCCTTGAAATAAATAATAAATAATATTAGAAATAAATAAATAAATAAATAAAACCCTGGGTGGTACTGACATTATTATAGTAATTTAGAGATTGCAAAAACTTTTACCAATTGAATTTTCCAAAATAGTGTTATATCCCGTTGCTTCCAACACCCTAGCAATCTTTTTATTTTGCTCAGTATTTAATTTTTTTAATCCAAAGAGAAGTATATCCCAAACACCTTTACGAGAGAAATACCGGCA